ATTTTCATCTTCTTCGATGCTATGTATGTATTTTAAATCTGCAGTTTAAAACTTCCATCACACCACCCATAGTAACAATTACGTATAGTATCCATAAAATAATGAATTATAAAATAATAGCTTTCGCATATATCGCGTTTCCAACAGAGAACCTTTCAAAAGTCTGGGATAAAAACTATCCTCTGTTCTTTCTCGAGGTCAACTCTATCTTTTTACTAAATTTCATTAAAATCAGTTCAGTGGTTTAGGAGTGAAAGCGTAACAGACTGATAGACGGACAGAGTTACTTTCACATTTATAATATTAGTTGGGATTGACCATACTAATATATATATTTGCCATCATATAATTGATATGACATAAATATGTATAATACTACAAATAGTTTCACATATGTACTTCCACACACAAAAAGGTTAAAAGGTCTAATTTAATTGGTCTTATTCCTTTCAAATTGCATATAAATATCCCTTTCATACAAATTATATTTATTCCATTAATTTCTCAATCATACACCTCAGATGTAACGTGATATTGTGAAAATGAAATTATATGGCCGCGATCAAATTACACAATAATTTGAGCTGGAAATCCGCAAATGTGGAGAATATGGTTAAATAAACGTAATAGAGATATTTGAATTTAAAACCATTTATTTAGTTCAGCTTGCTTCAATGTTAAAAATATTATTATATTGATATGTGGGTCATAAGTGATGAAATACTTAATTTGAACATATATACAGTATGTACGCTCCTAACAATTTCCAAACGAAATTAAAGTATGTAATAGTATTTTAATTTAAGGTACATGAAAGATTTATTTTACTATGTTACCACTTTTCTTTCAATAAATTTTAACATCCATCCTAACATAGATTACAAGCTTAAAAATCCTAAGAAATTATCTCATTATTATTATTTAAGGAGGAGGTTCTTTCGCCACATTTGGATTAATGGCTAGTCATTTTTATGCCATTTAAATCAGAAGTATTGCAGTTTAAAAGCGTCTGTTACTTTTCTGTAATAGATTTCAAGTCTTTGTTAATAGAATTCTAATATCGAAATTAATTTGGCCGTCCTATAACACATAACCCATCCATACTATGAACCACAAGATGGGATGCAAATGGAATTATAATTCTCATCTTTGCAAAATTTGTAGTGAAATTGATGATGCTTAAAGTCATAGCTAAGGAGATACTATGAACCATGTATTCATAGTTATTTATTTAATATATATACGTTATTTGAAATATAAACTGTAACAAAAAAATTGCCATATTAATTCTTTGTTATCTATTTACTTGTCTTCAATTTTCTTAGTCTTTCATTGGATTTCTCCTAATTTTTACGTTTCTAAAAAAAGTTTTTTTATAAACATAAACATTGATGTGAATTTTGTAACTGAAATATTTCAATGTAAAATATTTTTGATCGTAAATAAAAAGCATTTCACGAAATAGTCAGCTGAAAGAATATTTGATGGAGCCCTCGAAAAGGTGAAACTAGAGTATATTTGCCTTTAGAGTGTCGTAGTACATTTCCTTAGCAATATTTCTCACAGCTTTTGTTCTCAAACAGGATCTGAATGATTCTCGTAAAATACTTGTATTGCATCTACAAAAACAATGGAACTTTTGTATTCCTTAATTTTTTTGTTCCGTATTAAAAAGGGGTTGAGTATCATCTCTTATTATTAAAAAAATCGTTATCTTTTAAAAATAGGAATATGAATGAATGTCTCTCTTTAAATTGACACACAACCAGACAGAATATTATTTGAAATAAAAAATCTTTTACAAGGAATTAAATATTTTCGTCATAGTTTAAGCAGTGCAACATAAAAAGAAGTTGTACTTTTTCTTATGGTCGTTTTAATTTTGTTTATGATAATTAGTTATTATTAATGTTATTCGTGTGCTCATCATCCGAATACTAAATATTGACCTATTATGCTATTTTTTTATAAATGTATTCGTAAAATTAAGACAAAACATATGACACAATAATACAATGCTTTCGTCCAGAGAGTAAAGTAAGAAAAGAATATTCCAAGAAATTTGAAATATCTGCTTTCAGTTTTAGTTTATAAAAGAAATACTGAATCATATAAAACCTAATAAGTTTATTCTGAAAGAAAATTTTTATTTTAAGGTAGAATAAACTTAGTTTTATTTCATATAGATAAAATACGTTAGTAACAACTTACAAGTGAATGACTTCTAATTAATGAGTGATGTAGTTAATATTATAAATTGAATTTATCATTATAAGTGAAATATGCTCGTAGGTATATTTAATATATACATTCATATCCATTTTTTGTGTTTATCGAGAAAAATTCTTAATTTTTTGTTGATCTCAAACGCAAGTCTTTCATCGACTTTTTCACCCATGCTCTATTCGTTGAAAAAAAATCCATACAATTTTACCTGATCTACAACGCAGAAGACGTCTTGAACGTTAAATATAAAAAAAATATGAACATTATTCTACTTTATAATTATTTCAAATAAATTAGTATTTCTTTTTGTTGCATACTCAATACTGTTCTATTAAATTTAACTAAAGTTATTAGATATGTAGAACGCTTATTCCTTAAGAAACCTTCGAATCTTGATACTAATGACGGCGCCTTAAATATATATTTTATACAAGAGTTATACTTTGTTCAAAATAAAGTGTATATTTATATATATTTCTTAACAAGGACTATCCAAAAGTATCCAGAAGTGTAGATTGACTCGTAATAATGAGAGAGTACAATTAATTCACAGATATTATTTATAGCTCTTCTTAAGATTTCTGCTTTATAATTGTGAGTATAATAACAAATCGGATCATCGCCTCTAATTTTATACATAATCTCTTACTATTATTAGTGCTAATTAACAAGATAAGAAAAAATAAATTAATAACTTTACGAGCTTCTCATGAGAACCTATATATTTTTTAAACTTCCTTCTGAATGAAATATCCTTTCATTTACAATCAATACCCACCTGCTGTTCAATAAGTATTGAACAGATAATTCTCATTTTATTTCTATTGTAATGAGAAAATTCTGATTGTAAGAGGTTTTTATGATTAATACTTTTTGTTCTTTGTTCTTCAAACTATTCTTACAACTTTTTTGAGGTTCTTTCGGAAAATTATATTAAAATCGATTCTGTAATTTTACCACGACATCATATTAGACAGACACAGTCAGGTTTCCTTTCACAATAATCCCTGATAAAATCATCATACCCTGATAAAATCAAAACAAATTTAAAACATACATATGTTTTAAGTGTGGCGAGAGTTATAACATATAACACTATTTTTGTGCCTAGTTTTACATTGTAACTGCTTTTATTACATCGAGAATTTAACTGCGATCTATTATAATTGAATAAATCTCTTTGAAAGATTAGAATTATAACCAAAAATTACAAAAGTTTCTTCTACTAAAACAACAAAAATAATAACAAAGTTTAAATAATAAAATAATATTTTACGAACGTATAAGTGTTCCCATTCAAGCTTAAGAGAGTGCTTCGAATCGAATGTTAATAATTCAGGTGCATTGAAGCTCACCACAGTAAACACTTGCGTCAGAACAAATGTTTGATGCTCGGAGATCAAGCCCACAACCCTCGCTTTCAAATTGCTTTATTAACTGGATATATACGAATTGGTATTCATTTAAAGCTTTGATCTGTAGACTGTATATTAATGAAACAATCATATATTAAGAAAATATTAATATACTAATAGTCTTTACGAAATTATTGTAATTAATTTATTACCTAAGATTAAGAATCGGAATATGGTTGTACATATGTATATGTAATGATTTTATTATATTTGTTTTAATTATAAAACTTATTTGTTAGAACTACTAAAATATTATAATTTTCGACAGCATGTCACTGAATATTTTTTTTAAATTATTGACCAAATTTGGGAACGTCCTTAAATATATCGTATGTATAACCCAGTATTGTTTATTAAGAAAAAAAATATAATTTGAAATATGACTGTTATATATTTATAATTTCAAATATTGCAAGAAATTATTATATTTTTAAACTTATCTGGTGCTGAAAATTTATGTGTTATTATGTACGAACCTTTGAAAGGTACGACTTGAATTCACATTACATGGTTTTATTTTTTAATTTGTTCATATTTTAAAAGAAAATAATATGATCGCCATATATGCACTCTTTCTATGTATTTCAGTATAAAGTATATTCCACGTCTAACAAAATTCAATTTATCTTCATCAAGTAGCAATATCATTGTTTTAGATGTTTTAAAACTTATAAAACACATTATTTCTTAATGCACATTGTCACGAAGATCCGAATATCATGACTGCGTCTCCCAGAATATATTATGAGGATGACACAAAAAGGATGCGGATAAGGGCGATTACATACGAGGCGTGTGTATGTATATCACGTTATTGTTCATTATTAAACAAAAGTCAGTGTAAGTATTATTAAATAGATTATCATATTTATTTCAGATAATTCAATTAATCTAAAAATATGTTTAATATTATTTTATCTCCTACATTTTGATTACTATTAAGTAATCAAATCAAATGAACTTCAAATATTTTGAAAAATATACGCCGTAATATATGAATGTATTGAAAACTTCGTGTGTAATATACCTAAGACTGAATAATTCATCTACATCTTCACATGCGCTTGATACAAGCAAGGCTACGTGGCAGAATGAGAAAGTCACAATTTACATATTTATCTTAAGATCTTAAATTTTTACTATAAATTTTTTAGTAGAGTAAAAATAATATCAGAATGAACGGTATAATAAACATTGAACAGCATGCTTGGGTTTAATTATTGTAAATTATATGACTATAAAATTACTTTCTTTCAATTTTCGAAAAATACTTTTATAAAAAAAGCTATAGAGGTTTTATATAAGTTGTTTATAATATCATAAGATCATGTGATATTCATGACAATTGTTAAAAAAATCATGACCGTTGGTTAGTTTTAAACAAAATTTAAATTCATTGAGTTAAAATGTTGATACTTTTACCTACGAAAATATTAAAAAAAAAGATGAATATAGGAAAATCGTAAGTAGAACATAAGAAAAACATATATTTAGATAATGTCTGTAATTCTCACTAGCAACACTAGTGGCATCAATAAACAGTTGTGTAATTTTGTTGTCATTTGAATGCAATTATTTATTCTGATTGCGCGAAACAGAAACCACAATGCAATTGCGGTTTTGTATTAATGCTAAATGTATCTATGGGGTGTTGCACTTGGACTTTGCATGTTGCAATTGCAATTGACAAAAGCATTATATTTTTAATGTTATGTAAATACATACATGCTGTAAAGTATGAGACGAGGTAAAAAAATTGGGAAGTGTATATGTTAAATAACATTTTTATTTGAAAATTATTTAGTGAAGTTATGTACAAATAATACATAATGTTGAATTAAACTAATATTTTGAAGTGAAACTTCTTTAGGCGCATGAGAGAGTAAGATAGGGCGAACGTAGCATAAAGCAACTAGCTTTGGAGTAGGGAGCAAGCAAGTGAGAAAGATTGATAGAAAAAATGAGACAGAGCGAATGTCGTATGTTTTAGATTTATATAAATATAAACAAGATTTATAAATTAGTTCGCCAAAGAAATTTCACTTCTGGCAATGTACTTTGTATATGTACTTTGTATATACTCTTGAAAATATTAGTTTCATTTAAATGAATACTTAGATTTCATTAATTAATATATTTTTTCTTTTTCCAGATCTACAACCAAAGTACTATTTGGATCAAATCAGCGACATTCACTAAAACGTAAGTCACAAAAATTTCATTTACACCATTTTAATATCGTTTTTATTATTTAAATTCAATTTAACTAAAGTGTTTAGGAGAGGATTTTTTATATGGCAGAAAAATATTTAGTTAATACCATAGAATTCACAGTACCATTAAAATTTGTAAAATCTACTTTAAACAAGGAAATACTAACTCAAACAGACATATGTTTAGACACTATTATATTTTTTTTATATTTAATCACAATATACGAGTATATTATGTTCTGTGAATGCGTAAACATCCAAATAAAAAATATAAAGAGGATATGTAGGTATTAATTAAATTTACTCAAAGGAATTATTTAATTAATTCGTACATAGAAACGATAAATCACAAAGGGTTAGCATCGATAACATAACCTACATTGACGACAAAAGCGTTCGGGTTCTACTTAACTACAAAGTTTAGTTTAATATGACCCACTAACTTTTACCCTCACATCCACTTGCTTGAAAGTTGAATATATAGTAAACAATTTCAAATACATCGCGTTATTAATAACAATTGATATAGCAACAGTAGATGAAACAATCTGCTTTTACACTATTCGAAACCCTTTACTAAACTAGGTCTCTTCTCAATGGAGAAATTGTGATTTCAAACTTATATTTGAAATTATAAGTCTATGGTTCCTTACGATGTTTTCCTTCACTATCTGTCAGTGGTGTCTAAATTCTCTTGAGAGTACAAATAACTCGCAAGTTACATTGGTACTTGCCAGATATCGAACCTACACTCTCATGCATTAGAGGCGGGCCATTAACCTCCAGGCCACCACGACTTCATTCTCACACTATTATGTGTGGGCATTATTATTATTTAGTTTATTGTAGTATACCAAACTGACTATAGTTTTGAACATAACGAGAACTCATAATAATAATGTACTGTATTTCTATCGGCCTATCCTCATATTTTTCTTTCACCAATAAACTTTGTTAAATGAGTCTGTTGCTGTCAGTTTTGCCTTGCCTTGCCTTGCAAATTGAATATTTTAAGCTCATAATGCAAACAAAATAACCATCGTCATCAGCCTATCAGAGCCCACTGCTGAGCAAAGGCCTCTTTCTCACATGGAGAAAACTAACTATAATTTAACGAGAATATAAGTATAATATGATAATATTAAATAAAAAACTAATATAATTATGATTTTCAGATAGAATTCATACACATTGTATATAATAAACAGTAATATGATATTGAATATAACAAATACAAAGTTTATGAAAGCAATATATATGTGTCAATGAATTCTTTTATATAGAGATCACTCAATGTAACCGTTGTCACCAGCAGATAATTTATAGTCACCATTTATTTGCGATACTCCAGTCGTATAAAACCGACTTATCTCAGTTGACTTTGGATTTTTTTGTATGAAATAGACTGCTTTTCTTTTGTTAAAGAAATAGGTCGTATATGAATCAAGATTTCAGAAAATCGTATTGATTTATACTTCATTATTTATCGTTTCACAAACATGTACAAATGAGTAGAATGTTTTTTATCGCTCAAGAATACGAAAGATTTTATATTTTCTTCAACTTCGCAGATAATGTATTATTCTCATACCTCAGTGAAAACCTAATTATAACTGAATTTAAACAAACAATTTTTTATTTAAGATGAATCAGGACTTATTAAAAAAATTAGCTTTAAAAGAATTGCATATTCCATCAATTCTTAATGAAAGTTATACGTAATATTAATGAATGATATAAATTCAATGTACGTCAGGTTTTAATATAAATTATAACATTATACTTTATGTCTCTCATCATTAAAATTACTTTTACTTCTATAATATTTTAAAGATATTCAATTGTATTAAGAATAATATTTCGCAAAACAAAGTAAGGGGAATTATTTGGACATACTGCGCCCTTCACCGTAAAGGCCACTCCATACTGACAGCGTCACGAACAGATTGTTTATGACTGTTATTTATTTGCTATTCTGAAAGGATCGTCTGAAACATCTTACTTTGGAATCTATTGTATATTTTTATTTCATACATATACTACCGCTTAAAGAATAATTGTAATCTAAGTAATGTAATATATACATTTATTTCTGTAAATAGTATTTATATTTTACTAGTTTTTACCCGCTACTTCGTCTGCGTTAGTTTCAGAATTATCTGTATAGCTAAGCGTCGAAGTATATTCTACCTTAAAGACAGTAGATAAGAAGATTTTGGATTTGATCAACTTATTTTTTTTCCTTTTCAATCGGATGAAAATTATAGAAACTTTCCCTTGTTCTAAGCTTTCTGTACACCAATTTTCAGCCAAACATTTACAGCCGTTCTTGAGTTATAAATAGTGTAACTAACACGACTTTATTTTATATATAATGATTATAGGGCGTTATATATGTGTATTCTATACAAATTGTTTCGTATTTTATTAAAATCTTTAATCATATTGAAGTATATTATTCATATTGAAGGATTAGTTAAACCATTATCTATCAATTATTTTAATATCAAGAATCCATTAGACCGAAACGCTAACTTTGGTAATATAATTAGTTGTTCAGATCTTATCGGCCGTACGATTTGATTCTAGGATTAGAAATTAATCTGAATTTAATATTATAAAGCTAATAAGAGAAATAATTTTCAATTTGTTTTAGTTATAACAAAACATAATCGAGATATATATTTTAAAATAACGTGAAGAATGTATTTTTTAATTTTTTTGTCTTTGATTTTAATAGCCATAATCATTAGAACGGCTAAACGGTTTTTAAATTTTTTGTTTTTATATATGTTCCGAAAATAATGACAATATTATAAGACGAAACTTAGCATTCAATGTATTCACGATGCGTGTGTCGGGTCCATCGTTGTAGTGAGAGGAGCTTCAACAGTGCCTGGGACTTGTGACCCAGGTGTAGGTTTAAAGGGCCCCTATCTAATGCGCGTTAGACACTCACCTCCACCGTCCAAGCTTCCATTTCTACCCAACCAACGAAGTGCTTTGTAAATACGTCAATGGCAATTAAATGTTAATAAAACATTCTATGGATTAAAAAAAGTTGAATGGTCAACATTCAATTTAAAAAGGCTTTAACTAAATAGAAGACTTCAGTAGTGGTATGAAAAATATTAAGATGACAAGTTCGTTACACGTACAATGCATTTAATTACATTAAAATAATAACCAATAATGTAAAAATCACGTCACATGAAATAAAATCGCCATATTAAGAACGTTTTATTTTTAAGCCGATTTCTCTTGTTTTCAATTTGAATACAATGTAATACATACAATACGATTGTATTTTGACCAATTCATTAACTATAATTATTATTGAGAAAAACATTAATTAAAAACCTATTTATTTTCGTTGAGCAAAAGATTTATATCTGTTAAAAACGGTCAATTCAATGATTGTAATCCAAACATCGTCTCCCAGACGGAGAGCAAATTGCAATTCGACCCAGCATAATTATATTCCGGACAGATTCGTGTAACGGTTAATGAGCCAGTTAATAACATTGGACCTAACAGCTTTGGGATCAAATCAACTTGGATGGTAATTTCCATTCCGTAAATAGAGTGTCTGCTAGGGATAGTTGTCCTTTTTCAACTGCATTTTGTTTGAAGTGGGAATTACAAAATATACACTCATTACACAAACACATGCACATGCTCATATACACGCACAGTCACACACACATAACAGCAAACGCACACACACGCACAAAAGCCCAACAAAAATAACGTAGTCTTCAGTTAGGATTAGTTTGAAGCATCCTGTTTCTTTATAAAAAAATTTGCTATATCATAACGTCATATAATTATCCTCCTCATCATGTTAAAATTATTGCTTTAATGAAACCATATTTTGACATCACAGGATTCCTTAACTTAAATCCGCATGCATGTTGGTATATAAAAAATATGATCTCCATAACTGATATAGAAGAATTTTATATATTCAAATCATGTAGGAATAAAAAAGAGAACAATTTTCATATATTTTTCTAATGTGAAACGTATTTTTGTTCAGATTTAGATAAAAGAAGATTACGTCGTGCTCTCACTGATAATAGGCTGGTTATAACCCAACATTTTACTGAGAGAACCGTTACACCCGGTGGCGATGTAAGTTATTTAATCATTTTCTCCATAAAACCTAAACTAAATTGTACATATTAAAAATATAATATTTATTTAAAATATCCCACGTCAAAATCACAACATCAGTAGCAAATTGCTGCACAAAGGAAAATTCCTAGCTTGTTGCATGTTAGTGGCGCGAGTCATGTTTTGTTTTCATATTTTATTTATTGGAAAATGATTTTACATATGTTGAATTTTTCTGGTCATTTTTATAGAATATCTTATTGCTATTTGATTTATTATTACATTATTTTCAGATAAGTATGCAATGTGCCGCTACTGGTGATAGACCTCCTCAGTTTGTTTGGGAGCGAGACGGAGTTACTGTTTCAAGCAACACAGATCCTAGGTATAGCATATTTCTAAGCTATTTCTTTAATCTGATACTTTTTAGGTGTCTTTTGACTTGTCCTAAATTTCGTCCTATTCACAACACGGTTGTCCCGTATGAATCTAATTTTAAAAACTTTTAAGAAAATAACTCTTGTCAATGCTAAATAGGTTTTTTTTTGTTATTAGATGGAAGATACTTTAGGTTTTAAAAGTTTTTTTTCTGGCGTTTAAACAAATTAATCCAAAAATAACTACTTTTCATGAAAATATCATAAAGTTTTTAAATCGTTCAAAGAAATTTATCTCCAAAATTGAAACCAATTAGCTAGATAAGATCGTGCCAATCACACAGAGACCGCATGACATTCCGTTTCCAAATGCAATTCCACGTCAGTGCTATCGTGTAAAGCCATTCCGAGTTTATATCCAGCATAAACTTTATACTTCTTTAAAACATCAAAATAAAACTTTACATATATATATTTCGTAGTTCACTGCAATATAAACAAATGGGTATATAATTACTTACTAGATTAAGACTGACAATTAAACTTTTTGATATTCAAATAGGTATGCGTTAGGACAAATTATGACGACAGATAACTCTGTAATAGCCCAACTCAATATAACAAGGGTTCGAGTAGAAGATGGTGGATTATATGCTTGTATAGCGAAAGAAGGTGAACATGTAGCCAGCAGCGAAAACAGACTGGACGTTTATGGTAAATATAACTAACTTTTCTGTATATATATACAAAATTTAACAGAATTTTACACATAATTTATTGTGTATAAACAAACTGTGTGCCAATTAGTTGTATTATTCAGGTCCACCTTACATTCGGTCACTACCACCAATTAAGGCACAGAGTGGTGAATCAATAAATCTCAGATGTCCATTCTATGGATATCCCATAAGGTAATTATTATTAAAAATTACTAAGATGAGGCATTACTAAGAGTTTGAATGAAACTAATATTTTCGGATTACTACGCGTATTTTATTGTATTTAAAAGCTATGTACTTCAGACGTGTAGGTTACTTTGCAGCAAACGTGATCAAGGGTGACGAAATATTAGTTATTAATCCGAAATTATTACTTTCATTAAGTATTATATCTCATTATTACTTAGAGTTTTATGGCGTATATTCTTTGGTAATTAATTTCTAACTGTCATTGTGACGCCGTTTAACAATTTGAATGCGTCATTTAAAAACAAGATACACTCGCTTTATGCTCTTGTTTCTTTCAGACTAAACCAAAACTAATAAAAAAGAATATTTCCTTGAATTATATTATGATAAAAATATATTTAAGACACATTTTATATCTATTCGATGACTTATATTTAATAAAATGAATTCTATCTCTCTCCGATTATAGCAAAATCGATTGGGAACACAAAGGCAAAACAGTTAACCTAAACAATCTTTTCCAATCACGTTATAAAAGAACACAAAATCACCAAAAAAGAAAATCAAGAAGGAGTATTGTCAATATACACGGAGTATTGACAATTCCTGAAGTAAATAAAGAAGATAATGGTGCTGTTTATACTTGTATAGTGACATCACCGTCTGGTGAAATGGCTAGACGTTCGTTTGAAATACAAGTTATAGAGGCACCTATTTTGGAGGATTTACTGCTTGGTAATAACCTACAGGAAGGTCAAATAGTAAATATTTATTGCAACGTACGAAGCGGTGATTTACCGATACATTTCGAATGGTTGAAAGACGGAAAGAGAATTTCAAGCAATTTGAAGGTATATTCGAGAATTCTGCACTTTATAGTAATTGTTCTGAGAGATTTGTTTTTGTTTATGTATAGTAGATTGTAGATTTATTTATATAAACTTTTTATATGGATTACATCATAATGCTATCAAAATTTTTGATCTATATATTTGTAACGGTTTAAAATATTAGCACTGAATTAAATGTACGCGTCAACTCAAAGGGACATTTCAATAGAATTAATTGCAATACACATCAATGCTATTGAACTAATGGAATGAATATTTGATTAAAAGCGTATAAACCGCTATTTACATCAAATTACTCATATAAAAAATCAGTCATTTACTTGATTTTAAATGAAAATAAAATTCAACTAAGTTATGTTCAGGTAGTCGAAAGAAGTTCGGAATTATTCAGTGCACTAGTGATCAAAAAAGTTGCATTGGAACATTGTGGTACATATACTTGCGTGGCATCCAACCACGTGGCGAAGGTCAATAAGTCTACGGAATTGTATATCAAAGGTAAATTTACAATATTGTGCTTTATTTATTATTACTCCTCAAATTTACAAATCAATCATTATGCTTATGGATTCGACAATGATAACGTGTTAGAGTATACTCAAATAAATTAAGACCATATAAAAGTTATATAAAAATTATGAATTTTGTAACTATTTTTCTTGTTTCAGTTGCGCCCAAATGGCTAGAAGAACCTACAAATTCGTCTCTTTTGCTCGGAAGAAAAGGCATTGTATCATGCAGTGCGAGCGGCTATCCACAACCACAAGTACATTGGATGAAAAAAGATGGTACAAAACAACAGTAATATTTGATCTCAGTATATTAAAGTGAATTGATATATATTTAATTTTTCTACCAGCTCTTCTGGGTACTTGGCAACCTGTCCTTGAACTAGCTGGAGGAGGAATCCTAAGTCTTCCCAACGGAAGTCTTGTCATTGAAGAAGTTTCTTTGACAGACGAGGGCTTGTATTCGTGTAATGTTGAAAACGGTGTTGGGACACCATTGAGCAAAACCGTCTGGATGACAGTCAATAGTATGTAATTTGAATAGTTAATAACATTTTTATTTTCAACTGATGATTGTGCCAAAGTCAATTCACTAAGTTCTGATCATGAGCTATCGTGTATCATGTATTTTTACTCTAATTTATTAGAATATTTCTATAAATTAATGGTTTTATTTTAAATTTTGATAAGCATTTGTAACCATCAACAATCTCAAAAATCATAATTGTTTTTTCCCTATACCTGAACCTATTTACTTATTGTATATAAACATTACGTATGTATGTATAATATTTCAGAACCAGTGCACTTTGATACGTCATCAGCGAATGTAACATCACGACTTGGCCACGCCGTGTCTCTGGAATGTCGCGCGCTTGGTGATGACCCTATCAGAATCACATGGAACCATAATGGAAACAATATAGACTTCCAAAGTCACAGGTATGGCATAATGTTCCAATTTTTGACATTAGCTTTTTATCTAAAAAAGGAAATAACTTCAGATGAAGAAGTATAAATTAATCAGAGAATCTATAATTCAAAAATATTTCACATAAGTATGTATAAAATGAAAATCCAATACAAAATACTTTTAGTTCAACGAATCTTTTGGCAGTATTTAACTTTAATAAACGCTAGGTCGTTATGATGACAGGAAATATAAAATCTAATTATCAATGCAAATAAAAATGCCCTTTCATAAATGTTTATCACTTATTAATATTCAAAGAAATCGTATAAATTAAGAGTTAAATTATCCACAGAGCAAAACACTCAGAGACGAAAACCGCACTTGGTGTAACCAGCACCATAAATATACAGTATTCAGAAACAGCCGACGCTGGCTTCTACCAGTGTAGAGCGAGCAATCCGTATGGATCAGCTAGCTTCAACACATTCCTTACTATATTAGGTAAGTTGAGTTGTTTAACAAATATTGCAATTATTTTCTTTTGGAAGTCAAAAATATCCTTGCAATTTGACACCACATGACATTGACATTACATTCTTTCACCAATCTAATAAAACTAAGGACTTTGTCTTGATATTTAAAAAAATTGGTAAAAATTAATAGTTCAATAATAGAAATATAAAATATATTAAGTACTAAAGTTTTGTAAGTTCAAAACTTTAAGTTACCCAATAGTATGGAAATAATGTTCCCTTCATCTTTACATTACAAAAAAATCTGTTGAAGTTTCGACAATGTTAGTTCTTACCTGTTCACGAGTTAGCTACCAAAAAATATCATAAATTAATAAAAACGTATACATAACTTTAATTATTACACAGTTGGTCGTAAATAATAAATATTAATATTTGTTATTCCCAGAACCCCCCACCCCTCCCTCCGAACTGAGAGTAGAATCAGTTAGATCTCGTACAGCATCAGTTTCATGGCGAGACGGGGCACATGCCGAGTATTACACATTACAACACACGCCCGCTCATTACGCTGATGACTGGGAATACGCCGTTAGTCTTAATATTACGAGGTAGGTACTATACTAATAAATGAAAGGTGTGGAATAAAAACTTGAAAATGATCGTCTAAAAAAAAACTTGATTTATAATTTGTATTAATGAGATCTAATAAGAACGAAAAGTTTCACGAGTATTAATTTAATATTTTTTATTAAAATATATTATTGTGTTTAGGTAGGGTAGTTTGTTACCTTTACATAAAAAATATTACCTTTTGAAGGCTATCTGCCAAATTTCAATTATTAAATGAAGTTTAGTGAATTGCAAAGTTATAATTTTTTAATTATTAATACTTTAAAAATAATATATAATACCTATGTATTTTTTGAAAAATATATAAGGAAAGGCATCGACATTCGTCAAACGATAGAGCTACAGAATATAAGACCTGCGACGGCTTACGCGGTGCGAGTAGCAACTGGTAATGAAGTGGGTGTCAGTCGTTTTACGGCGCCTGTACATTTTACAACACACGAGGAAGGTAGAGATTATTTAATTTTATATTAAATTTACTATTGAAACTGCTAAATTTAAATTTTTATCGTATTTTTTATACAATATACCAATAACACTTTTACATCTTAACATTCATAACGTCTGATCTTCGTAAAAATAAAACATTTGTGCTTCTCGGGACGCTCGACAAAAGTTAAATTGTGTATACATAATAGTGTAGGTTATTACTTAAATCTTATAATAGAACTTTTGCCCCATGCATGTAATATTGATGTTCATATATAATGTGAGAAAGAGGGAAAATAGACTCATTGGCGCCGCTAATGTTATGAAGCGGTTTATCCTCCCATAAGCAGTTATCACTACAAAAGCATGTTAATTTCAATTGAAGGCAAGAATTGCCCTTTACAACCCATTTATAACAAAACCTCGAATTAGGTACATGAATTACGATTAAGTTTTTAAAATTTATCGACACAATCATGATGTGTACCTACTTAGAACCTTCGATATATCATTTTAGTTATATTAATTACATGTAATGTACAATTAAATCAACATTCTCTTGATGTTAAAATAAACAATAATTTTAACTCAATTTACAGCTCCATCGTCAACGCCTATTAATATACAAATTGAACAAACTGAAAATCCTGGAGAACTATTCGTCTCCTGGCTACCTCCGCCTAAAGACACTCACAATGGAATCATAACAGGCTATCATATAAAGGCTGTGCCACAAAAAGGATCATCTAGTAAGTCTTACTAAGAATTCCTCAACTTAATTATGCAATTTAAATGAAACTAATATTTTCGGATTTTACTTCGCGTATTTATTTTTGATTATAAACTACATACTCCCGGAGTTTCGGCTACTTTTCAGCAACCGTGATCACGGGCAGACGAGATGTGAGTCCGAAGTAAAATCCGGAAATATTAGTTTCATTTAAATGAGTACTCGCGAATATCTTAGATCTCATTAACTATGCAATGTTGGAAATGTAAATGTAATGAAATTAATCTCTTTAATAGTTTTAGCAGACACAGATACAAGGACTTTGAAAGTGTCAAAGTTATCCGGAAAACAAGAGACAGTTATTAGTGGTCTACTTAAAAATACCAGGTAGATGGGACCTTTTTATTATTAATCATTTTTTACTAATTGGTGTTGGAGGAACTTTAATTTGTAATATTAGGGGAGTACATTTTATAAAATAAGATAAAGACAATCAATTTGATGTCAATGCTACTCTAATATTCAGACTCTCGAAGTAACTGTCATTTAAAAAACTGCTAAATGTCTGACAAATATAATGAAAACAGTCTACTGATACTTACCTTCAAGTTTCATTTTTCAGATATGCTGTTTCCATATCAGCTTTCAACAGCGCCGGATCAGGTCCATTTTCGATTCCAGTATTTCAAGACACTATGGAAGGAGGTAAAATCAATAATCTTTATATTATCATTACAAAGATATAATTAATAATTACGGTTTTGCTCCATTTGATATATCATTTAGTCTATCTGTTTCATGAAAACATTATTATCTCAAGGATTTTTTCTTTATTTTTTACTTACTAGTTACTAGTTTTTCTGCATTAGTTCAGGAATTAGTAATGTATAAAACCGGGCGAACTCTATTTTTGCAATAAAGACTAGTTAAGAATATTTTGGATTTAATCAACTTTTTTTTGTTTTTCAATCAAATGAAAAGAATCCTATGTTCTTTCCCTTGTTTTAAGCTATTCCTCCCCCAATTTTTATTCAAATCCGTACAGCCGTTCTTAAGTTATGAATAGTGTAGCTAACACGTCTTTCTTTTATATAAAGATTTAAACATTAAATCAATATAAGGGATATTAAAGTAAATATTTAACTATAATTACGTGTTCTAGCTCCCGAAATCGCCCCATCATCAGTTGAATGTACGGCTGTATCATCTACGTCACTACGCATCGGTTGGCAACCAATAGCGATACACGAACAGGGAAGTTCTTTGATCGGTTACTCCATTCTGTATGGAACTGAAGGTAATCACGATTGAAAACAGACTTTATAGCCAAAATAAGAGAATTCAAAGGTTATACCTTTAAATTAGTATGAACAAACTATGTATTTTTTTATTAAAATTAGTAATGTGTTGTTAATATTCATTTTCAATTTTTAAATTATTATTTACTAGTTGCGCCCAACGGTGTTACCCGCGGATGTCCGGGATTTCCGGGATGTAAAGTAGCCTATGTGTTATTTCTGGACGTCAGCTTCCTGTATACAAAATTTTATCAAAATCGGTTCAGCCGTTTGAGCGTGAAGAAGTAACATATATACACACACACCCACAAACTTTCGCAATTATAATATTAGTAGGATATTTATCTAACACTTTCCTTTTCCAGAAAGCTCTTGGCAGAACCAAACCTCTCTCCACACTGAAATTTATCTCCAAGGTCTTTCTAAATACAGCAACTATACGATAAAAGTTGCGGGTTTTTCCAACTACGGTGCTGGGCCGTTCTCATTCCCAATAGTTTGCACTACGTTACAGGATGGTAAGATAATAATGACTATTTGTATTAAGTAAATAACCCAATAACCATAAAATATGACATGAAAATTCTTAATATGATGAAGGTTTTCTTCGTGGAAACAAAGCAACTTGAAATAAAAATATAATAAAATTTTTAGATAACTATTATAAGTTTGTTTAAGAAATCTTTGGCGAATGACAAATCACGAGACTTACTGACAGAAACTTCCATTTCACATGTCTGTGATCTGTTTACGATTGCTGAAAATTAATAGAAACCTCGGGAAGATCTAAAAATATTTTTTTCCGACAAACTTTTTTTTTTTTATGTGTAGCTTGGCAAACGAGCAGACGGCCCACTTGATGGAAGGTGGTTACCGTCGCCCATGGACATCCGCAACAAATATGTTGCGGATGCTTTGCCAAACTTGTTTTTTAGGGATAGGGAGGGGTGGGAATAAGGAAATGATAGGAAAGGGCAGGAATAGGGAAAAGGCAACCGGCTCTCTCACTCATCAGACGAAACGCAGCCATAAAGACTACTTCACGCCGATCTTCTGTGAGAGGGTGGTACTTCCCCGGTCGAGCCAGCCCATATTCGAGCTGTAGTAACTGACCACAGCTAGGCTCTACCACCTCGTAAATACTTAGTTTCATTAGTGAAAATCTTAAATATCATAACCTGAAATTCTATCCATTCTACTTCCTAGAAATTGTATTATAAAATGGAACTTTGTATGTCCATGTTAGTGGACCTTAAATCAGGCATCAATTATCTGATTACTTTGAATAAAATTATAATTTTATGTACATTGACTACTCTGACCTATACAGGTCTCCATAAGGTATAAACGTCCTTTTAAAGTATATACATATGTGCATAATCTACGACAAAAACAACTATTTATATAAGTTACTTTCATACAAAATTCAATATTTATACTTTTTGTTGCTTTATATATTTATTCCAACATTCAGGGGAACAAATAGATAAGATAATAATCAGCAACTTGTATATTTCAGTTCCTGATCCACCTTCAGATATCAAAGTACTTATTCTATCATCCACATCACTGTTGGTCAGTTGGAAGAAGCCGGAACATTGTAACGGAGAACTATTATATTATACTGTTTATGTGAAACCAACTTCAGGGTAAATTTACTGCTTATATAAATAAATACTTTAATTAGTCTTAAGATGCTACTTCACTTGGCGTTGCGTATTCGCCGCATTTGTCCAAATATTTGTGCGTAGTCCAAATATTGCAAACACGACATCCACACTTGGCATGCAATCAACACGTCGTTACGCGTTTTCACTTATTTGTGTATGTGTCTTATTTGTGCAAATATGTGAAATGAAGACGAATAATCCACACATTACATAAACGTGGTCTTATTTGACAGAACACAACAAATAAACGCCAAGTGAAGTACCACCTTTATTGTTCCTAATGATTGACAACTTATTGAGTGTTACAAAAAAGCCCCAATAATGTTATTAAATAAACATTTCAATCGCCTGTCATGAACTACCTATAGATAAAAGAATATGGGATTAAAATCCTATTACTGAACTAATAGTGTAATAGTCTTTTACCCTACAAAGTTTTAAAAGAATCTCACCGTATATACTATTAAAAGTTTACATTTTAACCGGTTTCGAAAAGAAAAATTGCAAATTCATCTACAGTTTATCTTATTTTCTCCTTCGTCAGGGTATTTATTCTTTTAAAGTTAAACTTTTGCACAGCCCTGGTCCACCTCTAACGAGTCGTGTGGATCCTTCTCGGACCACAGCTGAGATCAAGGAGTTGACGAGCGGAAGATCGTATGAAGTGTGGGTGACTGGAAGTACCGCGGCTGGCGAGGGCGGACCTAGTAGGAGAGCCTCGCATACACCCGCTAATAGAGGTACACATATACTGATGTATATAATATATACGTTCACTCTATCCTTCCACCTTTAGTGTAAATAGGGCTTGGTTTTAAAGTGCTATTTGCTTGGGTTTTGCCATTTTCAAAAGAAAATATACGATCAGAGCAATAGCTGATATATTTCGAATATAGACAATGTTAATATCACAACTTTCACGTGTTAATATTCACGGGTGACTGAATAGGGTATGAAGACGTTAAAACGACCCAATACCAATAAAACCACATCTTTTCCTAAATTAAGTAGCTGACAGATTAAGTCATAAAAATCCGGTTTCGTCAAAATGAAGGAATTAATTAAATTTGATAAATGTGGGATAGTAAGACTCAGTTTCACCAATCAATGTTTGTTTTATCTACACCCAGCATTTGCTAACCAACCTTCAAAATTATAAATGTCTGTTAAAATATTTACGTCCCACGATGACAAATTAACAACGTATTATTAAACGCATGTCAAATGACCGACTACCAAATTATTCGTTCTTGTTATAAGACGACCAAATGGAAACTATAGCGTTTAATACTTCACGTTTTGCCACGATGCACCACTTTATACTTTGATCGTATATATCCCTCGATACGTCACTTGTAAACTAACGCGACCAAATTTTACATATCGCTGGTTGCATACATTTGGCACACAAAAAGCTTTCTTTTCAATTTACTAGGTGTAACTTGTCAAAATCGTGTTGTCAATAAATTGTGTTATATATTATTGTGTTATAAATATAGACACAAATTGTGTTCAAATTATAAGAAATAAAAAGAAAACTTAATTTGCAATTTCAAAGAAAAGCTGGAGGCAAAATCATCATACTAAATGACATTTTAATTCATTTTATTAATAATAACAAGGAAATAGTCGAAACTGACAAAACAGATGACGTTACTATGGTTACAAGAAATCAGGGCTGTGATTGGACAATTGAGTTTTGACAATGCATTAACATTCTGTTAGCCGTTAGACGGAGCTCCAGAGCAGGAATTAATATTAGTGGCTGGTTAAGACATTTAAACGGACATTTGTGAGTGGTGGGACGCTCGATGCATCTAACAGAGCATTAACGCCTTAACATGATGTTACTTATTTAACAATGATTGGTGAAACTGGGTCTAATCCTTTTGCCTTTGTGTAAACAGTCATAAAAGTTTGTAAAACTTGAGATTATTGCTAATTTTTACCGCTATTACTCGGCATTCATTTGTTTTTTTAAAGATAGGTTATTGTATGTGTGTATGTAAGTATAGCCATAATCTATCTATAATAGGTATCTAGATGGCGAAAAATTGTCAAAATGAATGTGGAAACATTCAAAAAAATTACTATTTTTAAACAAAAAATCCTAAGGCACGTCTTACATTACTTCTTTTGTCAGGTATATTTCTGCCATGGTTACAATTTTAATAATTAAATAATAAATGAATACAGGAATAATGTTCAATCATCATTTAAATGAATACTCGCGAAAATCTTAGATCTCATTAGTTATATAATGTTCTAAATTTCTCTTACTATTATTTATTCCCAGTTGTAGCCGGAGTCGCATCATTAGGTGGCACCATATCAGTGGGAGTCGGTTCATCCTTACTACTCGTGTGTCAATGTGTCGGAGTACCACCACCACGCACTGTGTGGTACCACAAACATAATATAATAACACATCATCCGAGATTCACGAGGAATCATGACGACAGCTTGCTGATTAACAGTAAGTGGTGTATAGAAGATTTTACAAATTCTTTTATATTTTTAGGTCCATTTATAGTTTGATAGAATAATGACGATTAATAAATGAAGAGCCTATCAAATTAAAATCAAACAGTGCAAACTTTCCATACATATAATCCAATCTCAAACCTTCTTTTATTTTGTGGGATAATAACATACTTCGAAATACAACACCTTTAGGTAACTTGATTAACGCTTGTCGAACATTTTTGTATACGGAATTAAAAACTATTGTATCTACATATGTATATGTACTTGGACTTGTATAACTAAACATGAATTAAGTTCATGTATTTTGTAATCAATTAATATTTTTTTGTTATATTTCCAGACATAGACCAATCCCTGAGCGGCAACTACACATGTCTAGCAAAGAATCTGTATGGTTCTGATTCAGTGGAGTACACCGTAGTAGTTCTACCGCTGCCCGAAGCACCAACACTACGAGCCACGCCATACAAAGACTCGATATTAGTTGAATGGGAACAACCTTATTATAGCATCGGTAACCGTAGCTCGAACCAGAAAATTAGTAAGTTGGTTTGTGAATACACAAGCTTTTCGCCCGCAGCTACGCCCGCGTGGAGTTCGGTTATATCGCGTTTCCAAGAGAACCTTCCAAAAGTCTGGGATAAAAACTATCTTATGTTCCTTCTCAAGATCAACTCTATCTCTGTACCAAATTTCATTAAAATCAGTTGTGTGGTTTAGGCGTGAAAGAGTAACAGATAGACAGACAGACAGAGTTACTTTCGCATTTATAATATTAGTAGGGATTTAAGAATCACTACTGGATAAAATAGCGATATATTCATGTCCGTGGAATATGGAAATAAAATTAAATATGTGTTGATAAAAGAATTTAAATTTTAGCATCCAGCTCAATAATTGAACTTCTTAGTCCATGAAGTCTATGAAAGTGGATATAATTAAAAAAGATTCATAAATAAACTTGCCTAACCTATCGTACAATACGCGAAATTATAAGAATGTTAGCTGTTACTTTATGCTGTTTACATTTATTCACAATTATAATAAAATGGACACAATTGTCAATGATAGTCATTATCTAATCCTACATTTTTCAGCTTATAGTCTAACATGGAAAGAAGCAAGCGGTCCGTGGCAAGAAGTGTGGTCACCAAACAAAGTACCTAATAAATTATCAAACCTCTCTGGAGTTCAAAAACATGCGCTGACTGGTCTTAAATGTGGTACGAAATATTCTTTGAGGATCACAGCTACTAACAAAGTTGGTACATCACAACCGGCGTATTTGGATGTTAGCACGTTGGGCGGACGTAAGTATAATTAATACATTCATGACTTCAATTTCAATATACAAATACATATATTCTAATATATAATTTCATCAAACATCTGATCACATTAACTATGGTCACTCGATATTTCTTGCAAAATGTGATCATATTTTAATCATCCTTTTTTTTGCTATAATACTAATAAGCATACAATAATAAGTCATTGGTGGCCTAGTGCTTAAAGGCCCACCTCTCGTATACGAGGACACGGGTTCGATCTTAGCAAGTACCAATGTGATTTTTTTCGAGTCTTATGTAGGTACTTTACTTAGCAGTGGTCTCTGATAGGCCGAGGCCGATCCATTAATATTCGTATCTTAATCTTTTAGCTCCCATCGCTCCTACGTCAACGGAGTGGTTCTGGAGCAACTGTTCCCACGTGTTCATCCAGGCCGCTGGTTGGGATGACGCGGGATGTGAGCTCCGAACGTTGGAGCTAGAACACCGGGCTCTTGGAGCGAGGAGCTGGATGAGGCCTATCAATATATTGGTAATGTAACATACTAGTATTAAAATGATTAATATAAATGAGCTTTGTTAGAAAATGAGCGCCGTTTATAGCGTTTTAATGGAAATGTGTTTTGATATAAGATTCTTAAAATTTATGGATGTACTTAGTTGTGCGTTGAATAGTAAAGAATACTTGGGATATCGTACTTGGAACTTCGGTTTGGGACTTTCGATAACTGGACAAATACTATTATTTATATCAATTATTGTTTGCCCGTGGCTGAAATACAATTTTTTGCATAATTTGGACATTATAATCTTTGCAACATAATACATAATTTGTCAATATCTAAACTTAAACTACAATATAAACTTGTATAATTTTATTACAGTCGTGCTAGTACCAAATTAGTGAAGGATAGAAAATTAAACAAAAACCATTTTACTTCAAGTCAAATATCTCACTTCTATTCATGAATGGCTGACAAAAAAGTCACAGATGATGCTTATTTATAAAAATAACACATTAAAAATTATTAAAACTTTACTTTTACTTACTTTTCAATCGAATATACCATCATGACCTATACAAATTGCTACGAAACTATTTCGCCTATACACAAAACTATTTATTTATTGCCACATATAACACTATATTCCTAACCCTTCCTCGTCAGTCATACACGGGTCACCCCTACCAGTACCGAGGCTCGTTCGCTCTATCAGGCCTGTCCGCCGGCACCTGGTACGTGTTACGTATCACAGCCACCAACGAGGCGGGGAGCGTCACCACCGTTTACAACTACGCGACTAAGAACGAGGATGGCAGTGAGTTAGCAGTTTAATGTGTCATATAACTGTATTATTACATTTTTAGGAAGTCAGTGGTGGCCTAGTGGTTAAAGGGTCCGCCTCTCGTTGCCGAGGGCGCGGGTTCAAACCTGGCAAGAACCAATGTGATTTTTCCGAGTCATATGTACTTTCTAAGAGTATTTAGACACCACTGACTGATGAAGGAAAACATCGTGAGGAAACATGGACTTATAATTTCAAATTATAAGTTTGAAATCATCAACCCGTCTTGAACAAAAGCGTGGTGATTAATGCTCAAACATTCTCCATGTGAGAAGAGGCTATGCTCAGCAGTGGGCGTTTATAGGCTGATGACGAAATACTAATTACAAACGAACAATTTAATAGTTCTTACAAATTTCTTAAGAAGGTTTGTAGTGTGATGCTAATACACAATGATGATTGATACCTCACAGAATCTAACAATGTGATTATAAAATGACTCACGATACCGAATGTACAGAGCTCCGACTGTTACAAATGTTCACGATTAATAGAAGGACTCGATACAAGACTGCTTTACTTACTTAGTGAATCAAAGAAAAGGGTTGCTTATCATATAATAATGCAGTCTAAATACCTAAAATACGTTTATCTATAATTGTATAGAATCAAAACTTATATTGTTTAAGTTTATGAATATATAACGAAATTAAAGTCATGATTTTAGAGACAGAAAGAATATTAAAGGTTCATATCTAATGATCCTTTTAATATTTTCCAGGTGAAGTTGGTCCTCCGTCAGAAATCTTCGACATCAACATGTTGGTGATTGTCTTAAGCTCAATTCTCCTAGCCGTCTGTCTTATCTGCTGTGTTTATATTCTAGTTAAGAGACAACGGTAAGTCTTATATGTCCAAGAATATAACCAAATTATAGCATTTTTAATAAAGTTTATACTTCAAAAGTAAAAAGTCTATATGTACAGGGTGACTGGTGAATTACTATCAATATTTAAGGAGAATACTCGGTACATGATTCTCATTCGAATTATGTAAAAAAAATAGGCACTTAATTTTTGACAAAATTTCCATATAAATAAATAAAGTGTTGACACGTTCCAAGTGTTCCAAGTGTGGACGAGTGCGGCGGCGTGCTGATACAACACTACGCCGCCGCACGCGTATGTGTGTGTGTGTGTATACCTAATCTGTAGGGTGTTCACACGATGCGTAATTAATTACATAACTTTTGGTTAACTTTACTTAGAAGTTTATTAATATTTATGTTATATTAATTTTTATTCTGTCATATATGATCGTCAAATATCACGTCCTCAAATATCGATAGTAATTCACCAGTCACCCTGTATATAATTTCATGCACTAGCTATGAAAGGAAGCGAGAAAGAAAATGTGCGCACCCACCGCTCTTGTCCTTGCCCCTACAATAATATACGAACCATAACACTCTATCTATCATCTTCACTTACTTATATCTGCCTCTCACTGTCGTACGCCTCGTTCGATCACACTTTTCGTAACCCTTTCGTAACGCATTCACCAGCTTACTCCCAAGTCAAGCGTGCGTAAAGGAGTTTTACTTATTTTATGATTATGTTTTTCAGTAATGTCAACTTAACTGGATACCGAGACTCAATAACGGTCGACAAATCTGAAAGTGGCAACATAACAGCTAACACATCACACAGTAATCTAGCTAATGTTAAAGAGAACTCAATGAACGCTCAGAACAGAATATACAGCGCTCCGATACATGTTAGAAATAATAGTAAACATGGTGAGTAATAATATTTATAATTAATAAAAATATCATAAAAATGGATTTTTTTATAAAATGATAGCTTTTGCCACGATTTCGTCCGCGTGGAATAGTGACTTCCGGCAGATTTTTGGTTCTTTCCACATAGTTCCCGTTCTTGCGGGGTTTTCGGAATGGTCGAGTTCCCGTAGAATTTTCAGGATAAAACCTATGTTTTTTTTATTCACAATGAAGTACTCTTAACCAACAACATATTTATTTGTTTATTTGAATAAAGATTAAAATTATTATGTTGATACAACTTAAACAAATTATTTCGACCAAATTAGGTACCATAAAAACGATTTTTGTGAGTTAATCTTAAAAGATAGACATGTACTGTCGCCGACTGTTTTTTAGATCATTAAAAGAGCTATTATTCTTTAATACATATTTTTTGTGTATCTTGAACCGTTTTCATGGCGCACGCAACGGAAGGCTTCAAAGATGAAATAATTTCTCCCGTTTTTTACACATTTACCACTATATCTTTGCTCCTATTGGTCGTAGCGTGATGTTATTTAACCTACAGCCTTTCTCGATAACTGGACTATCCAAGACAAAAAGAATTATTCAATTCGAACCAGTAGTTTCGGAGATTAGCGCTTTCAAACAAACAAACAAACTCTTCAACTTTATAATATTAGTATAGATTTGATAATAAATATTACATTTATATTTTTTATATTCAGTGTAAGATGGTTACTGTGGAGCTATACTCATATTATATTGGCGTTGTAATAAAAAAAAGACAATTGTTTATGCGACCAAATTCTAAAACGAATTTCCTTGCACGAGAACTCTAGAATGTAATTTCCTTACTTTAAACATTTAAACGATTCTTTCTATCTCCATTTTTAAGTATGTATTTTGATAATTTTGTCATAATCTTTTGCTATATTATTTCAGAGTTATACGAGATAAGTCCTTACGCGCAATTCGCTGTCGGCTTTCGAACGTTCGGTCACGCTGAAAACAATGACGTACCGAGACACATCAAACACAGATATGATACAGGTAGTGAGGACAACGAAACAAGATAAAATATAATAACAAACTACTATAATGAATGTACCACTTATTAATATTAAAGAAACCGATCAATTTAAAATATAAATTAACATTACTACAATATGATAAAATGAATTTACAATATAATAAAGTCAGTGGTGGCCTAGTGGTTATAAGGCCCGCCTCTCATGCATGAGGGAGCGGGTTCAATCCTGGCAAGTACCAATATGATTTTCCCAAGTCATATGTACTTTCTAAGAGTATTTAGACATCACTGATTAATGCATTCCTAAATAGGGTTGATATCAGGCAGACGGCCGGTCGTAAAAACAATTAGCCAAAACTATTTACAACATGTAAGGCAGACCCTGGCTAAAGCTGGGAAATTGAATTAAACGTAGAAAAAAATACGTATTAATATAAATTAAAGTTATAATCTTCTGATTATTATATATGACATTTTCGTCGACATTTCCTAATTTTTTCGTCAATAGTCAAACTAAGAATAGATAAAAATCACTTTGACCATTGAACTTATTTTAGTTTTTATATATTTTTACAGAAACGAGTTTTCAAGTTTGCTCTGAGTCAGAAGACAGTGACAGCATATCAAAATCAACCCTCAAGAGCGTACCGAGAAGTAAGTTACATGTATATGTACATATAAAAAAAAGTTGTGTTAGTTACACTATTCATAACTCAAGAACGGCTGTAGGGATTTGGTTGAAAATTTGTGGGAAGTTTGGAATCAGGAGACGGACATAGGATACTTTGAATTCGTTCGACCTAAAAATAATAATTTGCTATGATAAAATCCAAAATCTGTTCGTCTGGTCAGCTATACATATCTAATTATGAAACTAATGCGTACAAGGCGTGGGCAAAAGCTTGTTTATTATTATGCTAAATTGACTTCATTGCTTAATTTGGCAATTTAAACATAAAGTCAGTTATAAAATGTTTGCCCTAAATTGAACACTTGACAGTTTAATGCTACATCTAATGCTCAATCAATGATGATTGACAGATCTTATAAGAAACGGAAAGTAATTTCCGCCAAAAACTTACTCCATGTTTGAATTGTCACTACATACGAGGAATTTTCAGTATTTCATATTACAGTAATAGCCCGCTTTACGCGAGGGATACGCTCCGAAGAAAATCGCGTTAACTGAAATTCGCGTATATCGAGGTTTATGATTAAACACAGTCAAAATTTAATACACAAATATAAAAATAATTTTAATCAATCACTTTATTCTAAGAACCCTATACAATACATAGGTACTCCTATTTTTTACGAAAAAATACATGTATTGTCTTTTGGGTAGTGTTTTGTTTACGTTCTTGTAAAATACGTTCATAACACCAAACACTGTTTTTAATCGTTTGACACACGTTCAAGACACGGTCATCATTATTGTCTATACTCTGCAATGTCCCAACCTGAATAAATTTTTGAAAATCGCGTTATAGTGAAACCGCGCACAACGGGGTCGCGTTAAGCGGGGTATTACTGTATATAAACTGTCACGTTAATATTTACGAGAGGCAAACTAGAAACTCTTAGTATGTACAGTGATGATACTGTGTTCTGGTAAGAGATTTGACTATGACGAGAGAACAAATACTTAAAAATATTGGCCTACTATGTACTAATAATTATCCTTAAGAATAAAAGTAATATTTTCTGATTTACACAAAATACTTTCGAAATTTCGGTTACTTTACAGCAAAAGAACACGAACAGACGAGATGAGAATGTCTGTCAGTTAGTCTTGTTAATATCATTTACCGCTATCGATTTCTTAATTTCCTAGCGTGGAAATTAATTTTCATCTTGTCTACTCGTGATCCAAGGTATATAAAGTATGTAACTACTTGTGTTATACATAATTTTCCAACTTTCGTCTAAAGCTCGTGCTATTATTCAAACAACCTTTGTATATAATTAAAATATATAGACATATATGTATAACAAAGTATCATATAAATATATGAAATCGAAGTACGATCCATGTTTAACTCTATCTTAGATGTTATTGCTAATATGACATCGGAATATAATTAAAAAATGTTTATTTCAAGGTGTTCGTAACGACCAACTTATTTGAAGATAAAATCCTCTACCTTATAACTTTTTTCTCCTATTTATCTTAGCTTGATAATTTTTTCCTATGTTAAAAATAATTTAATATTGAAATTTTTTCAATGAACTTAATATAATATAAATTACGTAGGTGTAAACTCTATTCAAATAATACTCACTGTTTTTGTTTTGTTCACAGAAGCGTGTCGTTTGCCGCATCATAGGTAACTAGATAGAACAATCTAGGAATCAAATTCCACGGACCATGTATATTTTCATTGTAAATAAATACACTTTGTTTAGAAACAAAGTTCTCATATGTTTTTTTTAAGGCAAAAGTGGCGCTATTTTTTTTTTCGCATCAGAGTCTAGTCTATTTAGAAAATGGCAGATGGCTTGGCTGAAAACATTTTCCATGTGTCATTCAAAATACTTTCATAAGTTTGTATTATTTAAAAAAGGCCACTTTTGCCTTTATTTTACTGCTATTTGATGAGGTATGTTTATATTTAAAACTTATCAAAATATATTTATAAAGTAATAAATAATAATTTAATTGTTAATTTTTTGTTATATTTGTTAATATAGGTTATGTGATTTTAATATATTTAAGCTAAGTAACCATCTTTTTTTATGATTATGTAAACAAATTTAATTTTTTTCTAATTTATATTCTTGTAAATAGTATTTCATATTTCATTATATCATAATAGTCAGTATGTAAAAATATTTTCTATAATAATTCATAATCATTAAAATATATAGGTTTGATCATATATATAAGCTTATTTCCGCCTGATTTTTTATCTGTACTAAAATTTTTACTTCTAGCAAGTATAGTAAACATTTCAATTTATGTATTTATAAATGATATGTAATATGTCATAGTTTTCAATGCTCATAGCAAGTGTTCGATGTATATAATATCTAATATTATATAATATCAGATATTCTTCGTGAATTCTAAATAATTGTTTTAGCGTGATATGTTATTTAAGACAATGGCTTGGAACTCTATTCCCTGTAGTTGCCTTTGTAAGTCGTTATATTTTTAATACAACCAAAAAATAAATGTTTCTAAAATGTTTTTAGAAGTATTCTCCAAAAAGATGTTATGATTTAGAGGAATTGTAACAATTGCAAGACTAATTTAAACCATAACCAATCAAATGAATTCAAAAGCAAATTATTAAAAATTATAGAATACTTCTTACATTAACTCAAATGCTTGGTAGTTTAATGGATAAAGTTGTATGTTGTCTCATACCTTTTAATTTCTGTACCATAATACATTTCATAGTGAAATTTACATAAATCTTATTCAATATGAACTTTGTATAAAATCTTAGTTAATATTTTCAGATATCAACTGTAAGATGTTAGCCAAATATATCGTCAGTTTTATAAACTTGTAGCGGATTTTAAATTATCTGCGGGAAGACTGATTATTCATTTTAGCGTTCGTTTATATAGTAATAATAAATGTTACATAAATTTAAATGGTTTTTCTTTTTCATATCATACAGCCAGCATTATTTCAATGTATACAAAGAGGATGTAACATCAACACCTGGTTACCGAGCTTTGCTCGGTATTAAGAAGGAATTATTAGTTAATCTATTTTGTGTTTTTTTTTATTTCGTTCAGCCATTTTTAAGTGAACATGTTAGGAAGACACAAAACAATATACCTAATTCATCAATGAATTGCTTAATCCAACGTCAAAACAAACATGACTTTCTGTTACTTGACAACGCCATCTGCTGTTGTGTCATTAAAGCAATTAGCAAAAAGTAGTATTATTATTCGCCAATAGATGTCAGGAAGAGTCATATTTTAAACTCCTACTTTTGTTTTTTTCTTCATAAAATGATATAATTTCTAAAAATGATTCTTAGCAAGATCGATTTATACCAAAACCCCCTACATACTAAATTTCATGAAAATCGTTAGAGCCGATTCCGAGATTCCATTCCGATTCCGATTATATTCTTTAGTATATACTGGCTTTAAACAGTTTTGAGTTCTATTTCACCAATATGTTTATAAATTCATTATAGGTTTGAAATAACTACTGAATGTACCATTATATCTTTAAATGAGCAATTCTTGTATATATATATATATATAGTTACTTCAAACATATAATAAATTTATACACATATTGATGAAAACACAAAACCGTTTAAAGCCAGCAATTAGCATGTTACTTAAATTATTATAAAAAAATTACTATTTCTAAAATTAGTTGGCTTATCAAACTTAGTAATAAAAAAGAATGTATATTATAAATAAAACAACATCATTGGACAATAATTATTTATTTCCACCAATCCTCCATTACATACGCAAACTTTACTAAACACATTTTCATAAAATCAAAAAGAAATTCTACTTAAACTGGACTATGTTTTATTGTAGTACAAGCGATATGAACATTTTATATAGGAGCTAGGTTTAACACACTTACCCTTTACTTTAACTGTATAGAATACTATAGAAATTCTTATAAGCATTTTAATTTCTACATTTAATAAATCTAAACACAATAAATAATATCGTCAGCGTTCCATATATGATGTTAAAATTAATACAAACATATTGATTGATGGAAAAAATGACATTAAATTACACATCGATTTAAACTAACATTCACTTATTATATCTTACACTATAAATTAGTTGAATTTATAATATATAGGATATTATAAAAGATTATTTTCTGTTAAAAAGTTACAAAAGCCCTAATATAAATGAAAGGCTTCCAAGAACACAGTTACATTGAGATTATTCAGTCATTTGTAAGCTTTTAAAGATTTTATACAAAGAATGGCATATAGTTTTGGACAATTTAATATATGATTGAAATTGGACAAGAGTTTAGTCAAATCTAACATTGGTGTTAGAAGCAATGAATAAAAAACTTTAAATTACATCTATGTTCGGATATGAATTTATATATATATGAATATTAATGTTGTCAACATGTTTTAAATATTATTGGCTATGCACTTTTGACCTACTCTTACATAAGTAGGTAAAGGTATCTAAGCCGAAAGCTATATAAGTATTAAGTTATTCCAAATTTTATATACCATATATATTAAATCAATCAAAAATGATATGTCCTTACAACGGATATGTTTATGAACAAATCATTCCAAATATTGTCGTATTGTCAATTATCAGAGATTATTTTAATAATAAATTATAACAGATATTTTAATAGTCATATACTCAATATACAAAGTCGGTATTTGACGGTACATAGTTTTAACTTTTCATATTATTTGTGATATATAAACACCAATACTAATTCTAAACGAAAGACATCTAATATTTGGGGACACTTTAATGTAAAAATATTTTAAAACACGTAAACCTTTTGTCATATTCATCGAGTTAGCATCGTTAAAGTATAAACTATGTGTTCAATAGTTAATACTTTTGTTGTTAACGTATTTTGGGCGCTGATCTGTCGTTGCAATATTTATTTCTTCTAAGAGTCGCACCTCTTTTGATTTGTTCCATCAGTGATGTGTGACATACCCTTGGATCCGGCTGTAAATGAAAAATATACATATAGTTTTATTCGACTTTGTCCGTACTAATTATGAATTGAGTAAAAAGATATACATATACACTGTATACAATATACTACTACAATGTATTCGTAGGTAGAGAGAGAAGCTTGTACAGTGGAGGTGAGCGTATAACGCGTTAGATAGGGACACTTAAAACTACACCTGGGTCACAAGTCCCAGTCACTGTTGAAGCTCCTCTCACTACAACGATGGACCCGACACACGCACCGTGAATACATTGAATGATGAGAAGTTTCGTCTATATTATGATACTATTATACTTCAAACATATCGATTTTAAAATCAACTAGCGCCATCTATTGTCTGTAATATGACTTCATACTAAACTACATGACGTGATTGGATAAATTAATATTTTATTCAGATGTCTAAACTACTTTATTGGAAATATTTTTTAATATCTGCTCAGCATATTTTATGTAATACAGTAACAAACATCCATTACTTACTAAGTTTCATAAATATAAATAAAATTGGAGTGTCTGTTTGTAATATGTATTGAAATAACTGTTTTTTACCACATGCATTTTAATATAAATACGGTAATCAATGAGTAGTATTATATACCTGTGCGTGTGCGTTAATGAGATCTCTGACTGTATTAGCTCTTGATTGCATTCGTCTCTGATGCTGTAAAGTAGCTGACAGCTTGTCCAAAAATGCTGGTTGAACGGTGGCTGGGACACCTAGAATATATATATTAACCAATAAAAGTTTATTATTATTATATATCATCATCATCATCAGCCTATCAGAGCCCACTGCTGAGCAAATCTCTTCTCACATGGAGAAGGTTTGAGCATTAATCACCATGCTTGCTCAAGACGGGTTGGTGATTTCAAACTTATATTGAAATTGTAAGTCCAGGTTTCCTCACGATGTTTTCCTTCATCAGTCAGTGGTGTCTAAATACTCTTAAGTACATCTGACTCGGAAGAAATAACATTGGTATTTGCCAGGTTTCGAACCAAAACACTTAATGCTCTAAACCTTTAACCACTAGGAAAGCAGCCCTAGTAGGTTCTTTTCAAATTTGATAAGTCCATTGAATGAGAGTTTTCGTCTCATACTATAATAATTAATAACATTTAATAAGAAAATTAATGATTTTATGAAGAATCTGATAGAAATTTGTGTATAACTTGTTCTTTGGTTGTTTTATATTTTATTTATATATACAATAATCCCATATATTTTTAATTGAAATTTACTTAATAACAGATATATCTTGTATGGATATATTATATGTATATGTATACAGTTATATTATTAATATATTACCTTTTCCTTTAGCAGGTGATTCAGTAACATTAGCATTCGCTCGTCTCGGGCTTCTAGGAGACAGTTGTGGAGCTAACTTAGCACTTAAAGTAGCTATGAGACCTCCATCTGTAATAAATATATGTTTATCAATATATAATAATATATAAATAAAAAAAATCATTGCTTACATACACAGATATATAAAATTATAGATTCTGTTACTTATGTAGTACTTTTATTTATACTGTAAGAGTTACTTAGAGGTTTTGATAAAGTTTACTAGGATTATTTAAAAACTAGTTTTCGATTCAAAGCATCATAAAACTTATTGAACAATGGTAATAGAACCTGAAAACATCACAGACTAAAAGAGAATTTCTAAAGAACCCATTCCTAGATGCATTATTAAACATGTTCAAGTTTGAAAGTATTATACAATGCTTCTACTAATATAATAAATGCGAAAGTAACTCTGTCTGTCTGTCTGTCTGTTACGCTTTCACGCCTAAACCACTGAACTGATTTTAATAAAATTTGGTACAGAGATAGAGTTGATCTTGAGAAAGAACATAGGATAGTTTTTATCCCAGACATTTGAAAGGTTCTCTTGGTAACGCGATATAACCGAACTCCACGCGGGCGAAGCTGCGGGCGGAAAGCTAGTGCTTCTATATCATTAATCAAAGTTTTCTAATGTTTGTATGTATGTGTGTACGTATGTATGTGTACTAACGTTCTTTAGCGTGTCTCTCAGCGGAGTGAGCCCGCGGCGTCAGTCTTCTAACGAGCGAGGGCGCTGCGTATATACCGCTCTGATCTTGAAGCTTCACACCTACAAGGAATACGAAAAATATATTATATTATTACGTTCATAGATATTAAATTATTAATTGTATTAAAAGTCTAAATAATATTATAAATGTGTAACTTTGTGAGAGTAATGGATGATTGTTCTTCGTTAGGATGACATTCTGAACGGATTTTGATGAAACTCTCAGAATGTAGCTTAGAAATGAAAATAATATATAGGTTATATTTTATAGATTAAGTATTATAAGTATACAGGGTGACTGGTGAATTACTATCGACACTTGAGGACGTGATATTTGACGATCATATATGACAAAATAAAAATTAATATAACATAAATATTAATAAACTTCTAAGTAAAGTTATATCAGCTATATAAGTTGTATCAGCACGCCGCCGCACGCGTCCACACTTGGAACACTTGGAACGTGTCCACACTTTATTTATTTATACGGAAATTTGGTCAAAAATTAAGTGCCTATTTTTTTTACATAATTCGAATGAGAATCATGTAACGAGTACTCTCCTTAAATATTGATAGTAATTCACCAGTCACCCTGTATATTATAGTAAGATTAAGCATTCGTATAAAGTTCCGTCTATTAAACAATAGATGTCGCTGACAGTCAATACATCTATCATCATACACATTTATGATTAAGTATTCATTTCACTTTGAACACAATACAGAAGAAAACAAGAAAAGTCGCGTGAAAGAAGCTATATATATATATATATATATATTATAATTACCTGTCTGTCCGTAATGAGATTCATTCGTTACCCTCGGTCCGAAACTAGAGAAGGTATTGGTTTCAGAATAACTCGGCGTGGAAGGAGTGGAGCCGTGTGGTGACTTAGATTCATATACACCTACAACATATAGTAACATACATACATATATATTTGACGAAATTATCTTTAGGTTTATTAGTAAGAAATAACGTGAAATATGTATTACCCATCAAATTACATTTTAGTATTGTGGATCAAGCTCCAAATATTTAGTAATACAAACAGGAATAGTAGTGAAAGCAAATTATATTTAACTCAATGAAACGTTTTTTAATATTTTACGGTATTACCAAATATTACCAGTTATTACCTGTATTACCGCCGTATATATCAGTATTAGAGCTATTCAAGCTGTTCTTCCTTACAAACAGCGAGTTCTCGAACATTCTGTTGCCTGTTTGAGAGTATATAGGGTTTAAGTTACCGCTGTTCAAGCTTACACTGGATGAGAAATTGCTTTTAGCTTGTTGGAATGAGCTTAGATTTTGGTTCTGGGTTCCGTATATCGGTGTATTTTGGTTCTGGGTTCCGTATAACTGTTTCTGGGTTCCGTATATAGGTGACTGGTTCTCGTTTTGATTTTGAACATTTCTCCTCACAAGGCCGGGTGAAGCGGGCATATGTTTTAGTTCCGTCAACTGTTTGACCGTCTCGGCTACGTTGATGCCTGAATGAGCTGAAATTAATTATTATAATGAAAATGTTATCAAAAATACTTTGGTTTATGATAGTATAGCATATTTTTATAGCATGTATTATGGATATAAGTTTTTCGCGAGTTTTATTCATTTAAATGAAACTCATATTGTTTCGGATTATACTAGGCGACTTTATTTTGTAAAAAATAATATACTTCCGACGTTTCGGCTACTTTCAAGCAACCGTGATCACGGACAGACTATATGTGAATGACATTCATAATCCGAAAAAATATAAGTTTCATTTAAATGTATTATGCATCATCATGAGAAAATTTCCTATATTTAATTAAAATGAATTAAATGTTATGAAATTTAATTTTGAATTGCACAAGTGATTTTCAAAAACTCATTGTCATATTTTATGAATGACAGTAATTCAACTGTTGTGTAAGTTTATGATAATGATATGATGATGATAATGATATGATAATGACAGACCGTTCCCATCATCTGGTTGCAGGAGGAAGGCCGGCGGTGGAGGCAGGTTGTCAGCGTCAGACGAGTTCACGACACTCAATACTGTGTTCTGGAATTATAATATATATCAAAGAATTAATTTTGCTTTAAAGAGATAAGTAGTAATTAATGTGAGAAATAAAAAATATATTTATTTTCAACTTCGTTGAAATAAAAATATATAGTTCGCGTAAAAAACCCTGACTTTTATGATTATGGAATGAATTTATGTATAAAATAAAAATTATTTATTCATTTTCCTAATTTGAGTTACAGTAACTGTGATGCCTCTTTTTAAGTATTCTGAATGCTTGAATCATACAAAACTGCTAGACAAAATTTAGTAGTATGGTTAAAACGTTTCCTATAAGGATTTAATCAGTTGAAAAACCAAAAGATATATAGAAAACCTATTATCAACTTAAACATTATCAGTACAATGGTAAAAAATTTGATAGCAAAATCAAAAATTAAAAATGGTCACCCATCCGATTAGCGACCTCGGTCACTGTAGCTTCACCTACCTGGATAGGTCTCGGCCTTGATATGGATGAAGAACGTCTAACAGGAGGCGGTGGCTTGCCTTGAGAGCTACTAGAGCCACGACGAGACCAACTGGGAGCTGAAGAAATAACATATGGAATTAATATAAGACGACGACGAAACCTCTCATCATTCAATGTATTCACGGTGCGTGTGTCGAGTCCATCGTGGCAGGGAGAGGAGCTTCAACAGTGACTGGGACTTGTGACCCAGGTGTAGGTTTAAGGGGCCTTTATATAACGCGTTAAACGCACACCTTCACAGTCCAAGCTCCTCTCTCTACCAAATTTGAAAAGAACCTACTAGGGCTGCCTTCGATGTACGTTCCAAGAATGCATTAATGTGAGTTCTGGACAAGCCCAAGTCCTACTAATATTATAATTGCGAAAGTTTACGAGTGTGTGTGTATGTTTGTTACTTGTTCCCACTCAAACGGCTGAAGCGATTTTGATAAAATTTTGTATAAAGGAAGCTGACGTCCAGGAGTAACACATAGGCTACTTTACATCCCGGAAATCCGCGGGTAACACCGCGGGGCGCAGCTAGTTTTATATATAAAGGGATCTCCGAAAGATATTCTTTATATACAAGTATTACATATTATAATGGCAATAAAGTATATATTTTTTTCTTTTTCAGTGAAAAAGTCCTGTATTTTTTGTGTAAATACAAATTGAAGATATAGAGAAACAAAAATTAGGTTTGTCTTTTTCGGTGCAAATATCCACGTAGGAGGAAAACGAATGCGAAAAATGTAACCATAGTAAACGTTGGGGATTTAATTAATAGAATATTTTCAACTACAATTCAATTCAAACTTAAAGTTATACAGTTAATGATTAATCAACATCGTTAATATATTTTCCATATGTGATCCATATCAAAATTGTTAATTTTATAAAAATAAATAACACAAACATATATGAGTCAGACAAAAAATACATCATACATTTCTCATCTTGTAATACACCTATTTCATTGTGATCTAAACTTATTATTAGTATGTATGTATGTATGTCTGTCTCTGTGTGGTTGTGTGTGCGTATGTTTGTTTGTGTGTGTGTGTAATACAACATATTCAATACAAACACATAACAATACAAGCTCAAAGCATATCACCTCACCTGTCATTGACACAGGCCTCCTTTTAGGTACGGCCGGTTTTTTCCCTATAGTAGCGAATGCTGGTGATTCAGTTGCCTCGTCCAAACATCTCACTGCTTCCTCGAGACTCCCCAAAGATATGGAGAAATTCTCTCTCGCGATCACTACTGAATCGCTATGACGTAGCGTTACTATTTCCGATGAAACTGCATGCCAAGCGAAACAAAAAATATGCAAAACAAAATTAAAACAAAACACAAACGAATAAAAACTAGCAAAATCATATGACATTCACGTAAAAAAAATTTAATTTGTAATTGAACGTCAATAGACATTATAGTTTTTACAATGACCGTAACTCACACAAATCGCGAGTTCGATTTCATATCATATTGATGTCCAATTTATATACAAATATAAAATTCTATACAAATACACTACATCAATTAACAAAAAAGGAAATAAAAATACATTCAAGCGAAACTGACATTTATTTGTATGTACATAAGTGTTATTACCGTCTGGATGTATGAGATGAGAATGATCTTCGCCGGCGAATGCGCCCTGGCTTCCATAACCGCTCGATGATTCTAAAGAAGATTCGCTAGCACTGCTCTCTGAACATACCTGAAGTTCAAAACGATATATGTATGTATGTACGTCACATAAAATGTTCCCTCATATCTACTGAATTTAAAATTAAAACATTAATTAAGATTTTTTATCAAAAAGTTTACAGCTCATTTAAAACTAATTACGAGCAAATAATTATATAGTTTTGTTAGAAAGAAAATTATAATTCCTTATCGGTTCACGATAAAATGAAATATTTTCTATGCTATTAATAGTTTCAAGTGAAGATATGTGAAGGAAAATGAGTAAATAAGCAAGATTCTGTAACAAAAATTATAGTGAATTCGATTCTTAGGTATAATTATAATCCATATGAAAATATTAGCAAATATATCGACCTTCTAAAGTTATCAATACACATTAAAATCAGTATTTATGACGAATTTTCAATCAATGAATCACTATCAGAATAAACCCGATATCAAACTTGGACGTTACGGAACAACTTAGATTAAAAAAATATTAAAATTACACCAAAAAATATATTTTTTCATAAATTGATATTATTAAATTATTTAGACCGTACCATTTGAAGTATCCAGATAACACTGATATTATAAAACGATCTTAATACTTAAAATAATTATAACAATAGAATGATTTTAAATGAAATTCTCATTATAATATATATAAATAATATTATTATTTATTGAGCAAATCATTTAACAATAGCCGAATATAAAGAACCGAAGTCCCAAATGATGTTTTGACTGAAACTGTTTATATTTGTTGAAACAATGGACACTTTATAGATGGAAGGGATATCTTGAAATATATTAAGTTTGAATGAAATTATATGAGAAAATATTTCACTTATTTTTGTGACTTGAAATAAAGGCTAAATCAAATTTGAATATAAAATGATTACGTGAAAAATAAATATATAAAAAAGGTAAATATATTCTTAATAAAAGGTCTTGATGTAAGGTAAATAAATATATTAGTTATTGAAAATAACTATCATCATAATCATCATCATCATCAGCCTATCAGAGACCACTGCTGAGCAAAGGCCTCTTCTCACATGGAGAAGGTTAGAGCATTAAGGGTTTCGGTTCAAAACTTGGCAAGTACCAATGTGATTTCTTCCAAGTCATATGTACTGTCTAAGAGTATTTAGACACCGCTGACAGATGAATAAAAACATCGTAAGGAAACCTGGACTTATCTCAAATTATAAGTTTGAAATCACCAAATCCGCCTTGGGCAAGCGTGACTAATGCTCAAAATGACTATACCGGAAATTATTTTTTTTTTAATATACTTTACCAAAAAATAATAATTGCCAATATTATTAATATTATAAATATAAAAAATATATACAATATTAATATTATATTTCATCAAATATCAAGATACATCAACTCAATACATCATTGTACACTCAAATATAACAAGTGTACATACCGGTACGAATTTCGTTCAGTCCGTGAGTTACGTGTTACGAGTTGATTCACTAGAAACAATTATGTCATACAAATATTATATTATAACTATTAATTTGATGTGAGTATTAATATTATATATATAATAATTAAATATTAGATATATATAGGATATTTTTGTGGTTCTGAATATTATAACTAAACTGGAGAAATAGTTGTAGTGTGTATTCAAGATAAATAAAAAATAGCACAAGCTGTTTCGTATAGTTCTATTAAATAATAACAATATTTAACAACTATAACAAAATTGATATAAATTTATTTTAAATTGTTATTTAAAAATAGATCAAGGACGAAAATTTACGAAGGACGGAAAACATTATTTAAGAAATTGTTATTTTATTGAAAGTATTAAATTCATTCAATAGAACGAGGTTAAGATTATCACAAGAATTTTTATATCCGAGCATTACCAAATATTTGTTTATTTACATTGAACAAAGGAAGTACTAAGTAGATTGTTAAATCTCAAGATTAAACAAATGTTATGTTTCACATTTGTTATATACCAGTCGGATATGTTGAAAACAATTATTTTATTAACGTTTCTACGATATGATTATGATAATGAGCTGTAACTATAAGAATTAAGTATATACTTATATATTTCTGTGTAAGATATTATATATCTAATATATATTCTTACACAGAAAGACTTGGATAATATTATGATATTTTATTTCAATAGAACTTTTAAGAGAATACAGTACAAATTATATATAAAATTCATTAAGAGTATATAATGTGTAGTTCACGTACATATTTTAAATTCACTTAGTTCCGTTAAAATAAATTATTTATTTACGCATATAATTAAATTTGACACATAAATGTTAACGCTTTAATTAAAATTTATTAGTGATATATTTTCTTTATTAATTTTTTTCATATGTGGCAAATTCTCTTTTCAACAAAAATAAATGAAAATATTCAGAAAAATATACAAAATATAATTAAATATTCAGTAAAATGGACTTACTTAACAGTCATATTTATATGAATAATTAAATTATTTGATTTATATACATTTTTTTGTTTCAGTATCATCCAATTAATTTTTCACACGAACGGATGGTAAGTATATATATGTTTAAATATAATTATAAATAAATTTTATTTAAGTAACCGTATCACTGTGATGTCATTAAAAATAGCTACAACTGAAATAATTAATTAGTTCTATTTTTTATAAGAGTTCCAACATACATACAATTTTAACTTTGACGTAATAATTATTAGATAATGTCCTTGTAACTTGTTTAATAAGTTTAGTTGAAATTAATATTCTTCAATTAAAAAAAAAAATTAAACTTAATTTTTAAATCAAAAACAGTAGAAACTGAAATATAGTGTTATTATAAGAACATATTATAGATTTTAATATACGCAATATTAAATGATAAACAAATAAGTTTTATATTTTTAACTATGATTATGAAAATAAATATACAGGGTGACTGGTGAATTACTATCGATACTTGAGGACGTGATATTTGACGATCATATATGACAAAATAAAAATTAATATAACATAAATATTAATAAACTTCTAAGTAAAGTTAACCAAAAGTTATGTAATTAATTACGCATCGTATGAACACCCTACAGATTAGGTATACACACACACTCACACACGCGTGCTGATACAACACTACGCCGCCGCACGCGTCCACGCTTGGAACACTTGGAACGTGTCAACACTTTATTTATTTATACGGAAATTTGGTCAAAAACTAAGTACCTATTTTTTTTACATAATTCGAATGAGAATCATGTACCGAGTATTCTCCTTAAATATTGATAGTAATTCACCAGTCACCCTGTATATGCTCAAAACTAGCTGTATCACTATAAATATTATGTTTAATATGTATTATAGTAATTATATATTTACAACATAAATTTCAGTCCTCATATGTCAGAAGATGCAAAGGCTGCTTACAAATCAGGGGAAATAGTGGATCAAACGCCGGTAATAACTTTAGATCAAATAAAAAGGAAATTGAAGGAAAGCGAGGTTTTCGATTACGAAGATCCTAGTATTAATGAACGGGAGAGAAAGGAATTGGGTAGGCTGTTTAAAGCAGTTGAAATCATGGTGAGTGATGGATAAGTCGGATATGTTGTAAGATAAGTCGGATATGTCGAAAATGATATAAGATAAGTCGGATATGTCGAAAATGTTATAAGAGCACTCCGATAGGTCAACAATTTTTTAAGATAAGTCGGATAAATCGAAAATATTATAAGATAAGTTGCAAATATTATAAATGTAATCGAGTAAGACTGAAAATATTGTAATAATCGGTCGGATAAGTTGAAAAAGATTGTAATTTTTATCGCATAAGTCGAAAAATACTATCCTTCGTTTTAATACAATATCTTCAACTGTATAACTTGTATACAATACTTATAATATTTGTATTACAGCAACCTATATTTAATTCTATTTTTTTCTAACCAGACAACTTCAAGGAACCGTCAGCCATCAAGCGTTCAGAATGTTTTCTCGTCTCTAAGACTCGTTGAAAGAGCTGTTAAGAAACAACTTAAAGAGGGACAAGTATCTGAATCACTGGCATCCAAATTTCATTGGGAAAAACTGTTAGTATTTTATATATACGAAATATAAAACACTAGCTTTCCGCCCGCAACTTCGCCCGCGTGGAGTTTGGTTATATCGCGTTTCCAAGAGAACCTTTGAAAAGTGTGGGATAAAAACTATCCGATATTCTTTCTCAAGGTCAACTCTATGTCTGTACCAAATTTCATTAAAATCAGTTCAGTGGTTTTAGATTAGATTAGATTTACTTTCGCATTTATAATATTAGTAGGGATTACTAGTAAAATTATATGAAAGGCTCCTAAAACTCAATGAAATATGTATATGAGTATTAAACATAACTTCGTATATTTAAATTCGGTTAGAATGATATAACTGTCTTTGTCTAAGATGATTATAAAAAAAAGCAATTTAATCGATGAATGAAATCACATTTTCAGATAAAGTGTAAAATTTATATAGGTATTTGGATTTACAACTATTAAAGGTTTTTATATAACCATCGGTTTAAAATTATATCTAAGGCTACAAAAATGTTTTTATAAACCAAACATAATCTGAATTTAGTAATACTTTAATATGTCTATTGAATTAAATATTCCAATTTTATATATACTGTTGTGAGAAAATGTTTAGAATTAGACTAGATAAATAAAAACGTTCAATTTAGAAGTTGTAAATTTCTAGAAAATCATGTCATAGAACAAATAGACCTGGAAATACTAGAAGTTGCAGACATATTTCAGCTGTTAATCTTTAATATTAATAATTACTTTAATAATAAATTTATTTTATATAATATTTGTTATTTTCCAGATCGACTCGACACAGAAGGGAAAAACCCTTCACAATGGACGCAACGAATAAAATGAGAGTTTTCAATACGAACGCCTGATGAAAAAATATAGCTATATACTTATATTACTTTATGTATGACAATAAATAGGTTATTCATTTTATTTCTTTTATTTGAATATATTAGTATAAGTTTATTTATGTATGTTTTGATATACAAACGTATATTAACTAATCCAATTCAATCCAATTTAAGATATTTTTATTATATGCAATTTTTTTTGTATCTTTTTTATTATTAGTAATTATCATTGTAAAACTAATAACGAAAATTTAATGAGTGTTAAAATTAAATTGCTAAATATAAATTGAAAAATTGTATACAGAAGTTGCGGGTTCAAATCCAGATCCTTTGAGTAGCTTAACGTAAAAAAAAATTCAGATATTTTTACAAATCGAATACGATTCAATATTAATCGAGTTTAGAGTATGAGACATTAATTTGCTATAGTTTGAGTTACAGTTTGATATTCCTCCAATGATCTTTACGTATATTGGTAAGTTAGTCTCTCCCCCCCCCCGCTATATCTCTTTCTCTTTCTATCTCTATATCTATCTCTCTCACTCTCAGTACATATAAATCTATTCACTAACCTTCTCTTGTTGAGGATACTCCGTATTATTCTGTTGCTGTGCTCTAGAAGCCGTCATAGTAGCTAGCTCTGACATGTTCACGTATAAAGCTTGAGGGACTTCTGTAGAAAATTATATATATATTAATTGATATAATATGCAATGTACATCAAATAATTGATTGTTGTAAATCCACCACCCACTTTTAAATTGAATACATTGAACGAGTCAAACAACTCGTTATGTAATTATATCTTAAGAAGGACATTTAATATTAATTGAATTTTTTGTTTCCATGTGAGTGACTTTGTGTCTTTTTTGGAAAATAAAGATCTCTAAACCTAAATAATCGATACGAGAAATGGATTATAAACAGTGTTTTAAACCCTATGGGTTTTTAGTGGGTTGTAAAGGGGTTATAACCCACTAACCCCCACCAACCCCCAATACTTACCTTTAGCAAGATGCGGTGGAAGACTCGTAGGTTTATTTGGTTTAAACTCAGCTCTTGTTGAATTTGAATTCCTCGCCGGGACACTGGGACGCTCCAATGATGAACAACGCTGGACAAACAAATATTTAAAAAGCTTGCTCATTGATAAAAAACATGATAATATATTTACAAATCATGACAGACCATTTATATAACATGACTTTTCGCTTATAACTTGGATTGCATATCTTATAATAGAATTTGTTATAATATATATTCTTATTAAATTGATTGTTATTTTAATTGAGAAAAAATTACATTGAAATAAGAAATATATAGCTATAAGGTCAACAATTTAATATTGTTTACGGGATTAAATTTTCCTAAGTATGCATATTTTTAAATATTCAGTAACAATAATTTATGTTTAACTGGCTACCCGCCCGCAGCTTCGCCCACGTGGAGTACTGTTAATCGCATTTCCAAGAGAACCTTTCAAAAGTCTGTGATAAAAAACTATCCTATGTTCTTTCTCAAGGTGCACTCTATGTCTGTACCAAATTTCATTAAAATCAGTTCAGTGGTTTAGGTGTGAAAGCGTAACAGACAGACAGACAGAGTTACTTTCGCATTTATAATAATAGTAGGGATATAATTATATCCTATGTATGTTTTTATACTCACAGTAGGTAGCGGCGGTCTAGCGTATATACCCTCTCGAGTGTTCTCACTGAATGTATGAACACTCAACGCCGGTCGTTGGAAAGAACGATCCGTACCTTAAAATACATTAACATGATTATTAATTAAACTAGATATTATTTATATATTAAAGAAATCTAGATATATTGTATACATATTGCTTTCACTAACTAATATATCTGTATATGCAATAAAATTATTTCATATCAAAAATATATATTTAAACATGATTATTGTTATATATTTTTACTTAAACTGAAAACTAAGATTATACTAAAATTAACAAATCTAATATATAGTTACTACTCAAATAATAATTATCTTTTGTTTGAAGATTAAATAAGTATTATAATAATTCATATTATATCTTCTTCTTCTACCTGGCAATTTTCCGTCTATAGCCAGGGTCAGCCTTACGTGTTGTGAATAGTTTTGGCTAACTGTTTTTACGACCGGCCCCCTACCTGTTATCAACCCTCTTTGGGAATGCATTAATCAGTGATGTCTAAATACTCTTAGAAAGTACATAAGACTCGGAAAAATCACATTGGTACTTGCCAGGATCGAACCCGCGCCCTTGTACATGAGAGGCGGGCCTATTAACCACTAGGCCACCACTGACTTTTTATAATTTATATTATATATTATATTTATTATAAATAACTTACCAGCTGATATAGTATGCGGTCTCCCCCCCATTATAGCTGAGGCCGCTCTCTCAAACTGGGCCGTGTCTTTGAGATCGGGCCACGTGGCTGAAGCTTTATAAATCACATGGCATGTTAACATGACGGATTAATTAATATAAAATGGTAATAAAATTATATATGTGATATTCTTAAACTGTTTTCGTAATCATGTAATAAAAGAACATAGTTTTATTGAAGTAAAGCACATGGCATGTTAACATGACAGCTTAATTATTTAATGTATAATGAAATAAAATTAAAGTCATAAATTACATGACAGTGAACTTAACATTAATGTAAATGATCCAATTTAAGTTAATACCGACACAATAATAAAAATTTACTTAATAATATCTAAATTTATATAAATTTCGTTATGTTTTTATTGTATTTTCTATATATTCATATAATACATATTACATACCCGAGTTGGACGTGAGATCGTTTGAATCATTTTCGTCATTTGTCTTAGAAGGAGTCGCACCTTCGCTGTTTATGCTTTGATTGTCTGAACCCTGTTGGTATAAATAAAAATTATTCTATAAGTTTTAAGTATATTTACTTGCAGAATTATAATAAATCATATGGATTTGAACCCGTGATTTTCTAAATAAAGCCAGTGTTACCACTGAACTATCACGTCTGATAAATTCGTGATATATATTCCATTATATAATTATACATAAAAAAGCAAAGGATAAACAAAAAGATTACCCGACTGCGTAAGAATTAAATTATTTCAACAAATAACAGATTTTCTTTTGAAATATTAATTATACTGTCATAGTGAAATAGTTTATAGAATAAAAGATTTAATGTAAAACAAGACAACTTTTTATTGTTCTAAAATTCATCAAGCAGTTTATTATATTTAGGACATAACCTTCTATATAGCAGTCGGGTAAACAAAACAAAATAAAAATAAATAATAATTTACATTATCAACGTATAAAGAGGGTCGCTGGAGAGTGTCTTGGGAACGAAAACCAGAGTCACTGCTACAGACGCTCGCGAGACGTGACGTAGACTGGGGGAGAGGAGAAAAAATAACAAAAAATAACGAAAAGTAACAAAAAAATAACAAAAAAATAACAAAAAATAACAAAAAATAACAAAAAATAACAAAAAATATCAAAAAATAGGAAGTTCAGTGACATACACAAGTTTGTGAGTGTGTGTGTATGTTTGTTACAACTTCACGCTCAAACGGCTGAAGCGATTTTGATAAAATTTTGTATGAAAGAAGCTGACGTCCAGGAATAACACATAGGCTACTTTACATCCCGGAAATCCCGTAACACCGCGGGGCGCAGCTAGTTATATAATATGTATATAATTAATATCATAATGATATGATAAACCCACCTGTCCACGTTGGGAATCCATAACTGGTGCGATAGACGATCCAGTAGATATAGGCGTTGAACAACTTACTGTTGAACCTGATACACCTAGAATAGTGAAGAAAACATCGATCAAGACTCAAGAACAACTAAACTACACAAAACATCGAAGTTCAAACAAAATTCACAGCAAAATTATTTATTTATTCATTCATTTATGGGGAAATGTGTATATGTGTGTGTGTGTGTTCGTTTGTGTGTTTGTGTGCGTGCTTTTGCCGTGCTTTTCGTCCGCGATTTTCATCCGCGACTTTCATCCGCGATTTTGGTCCGCGATTTTCATCCGCGATTTTCATCCGCGACTTTCATCCGCGATTTTCATACGCGATTTTCAGCCGCGATTTTGCCGCATGCGTGCTGTGAGTGCGTGCTGTGTGTGTGTGCTGTGTGTGTGTGCTATGTGCTGTGTGTGTGCTGTGTGCTGTGTGGTGTGTGTGTGTGCTGTGTGTGTATGTGCTGTGTGGTGTGTGTGTGCGTGTAATACTCACCATGCTGATCGGAACATTGGCTGCTCAGAGACGATATGGATGTCAGTGATGACTTGCGACTGCCAAGTCGTGATGCTGAAGGTGAGTGTGGAGCCGAGCCACCCTCCGCCCAGCCACTGTAGCAAGACTTAATATCGCATATAACCTGGAATATATTATATAGTATAAATAATGATATATATCTAATATATAAAATTTCTACGTCACAATGTTAGTTACCGTACTCCACCGAATTTTAACAAATTTTATATGCGTATTATGAAAGGCTGAGAGTCGACTACTATCTATTTTTCATACCCCTAAACTGTGAGGGTTGTTCACAGTATTTTTTTTTTTTTGATTTTGGACGAAATTTTTTGTTTTTACGTTTTTTAAATATGTAACGTTAAAAATACACATTACTCTCAGTTTTTTTATGACAAACCCCTATTTTGCCGGGTTTATACGCAGACGAAGTCGCTTGCAAAAGCTAGCATAATATATATCTTCAGCTGTTGGTTATTCTATGGGATTTAGACATTTGCAAACGCTATTTTCTATGAGGCTTACAACGAAATAGTTATATAGGATAAAATCCTAAAAAATACATGAGCCGGAGCAAACGAGACTTCAATTTCAATACTGGTAAACAATATTTGTAATTATTTTAATTATAGATTCTAAAACATTAAAATATACATATTTTAAACTACTTTGATTTCTTCTTGGAGTTTTTTTACACATTGTTAACACAGAATCAAATTGCACGATCTCTCTGGATACCAGTTATTATTATTTATTTATTTAACAAATAAAAGACCTTTTCTATTCTACTCTAGTCTACTCTATTCTACTCGGAGTAGAAAAACAATTTCAACAAATACCTGTAGACTCCCAGCGGGTAAACTCCTCGGTTCAGAAATCTGTCTCGACAATTGTTCGGTTCCCTCTTGAAGGTGACTGACCTCTGCTAGCATTGCAACTTCACTCTCCTATGTTCAGAAAAAATATCTCATTGACAAATACTTAGTAAAACTTCAATTCCATATATCTATGTATCCATTTTCTAAAGATCATATTGATAGAACAACTTGTATGTATTCATTAATATTTTTATTCTTATATATGGCAATTAAACATTCATAGATTCTAGTCTCATCTGAAATAGCAAGTGTTATTGAGTGAATGTGATTTTTCCGAGTCATATGTACTTTCTAAGAGTATTAAGACATCACTGATTAATGCATTCCCAAAGAGGGTTGATTTCAGGCAGGCGGCCGGTCGTAAAAACAGTTAGCCAAAACTATTCACAACATGTAAGGCAGACCCTGGCTAAAGCTGGGAAATTGCCAGGTAGAAGAAGAGAAGATTGAGTGAAGCCATTTGAACGCTATACTTGCGACTTAGATTATTCATTCATTGAGCAGATCTCGGCAACAGAATGGTCGAGTCGATGTTTATTTTATTCGATAGCCAAGTTATGTGTGGTGGTTTTTATCACATACAAAGTTTTAGGGCCCCAAAGAAGAACCCATGTCGAAAAACACTTTTCGGTACAAAAACTCTTGTCGCTTCACTCAATGTACATCGAGATTTTTTTAGCGAAACGAGAAAAAATGCAAAAGGACATCTTCTAGTATATTTATACCTCGGTCCTCGGTCCTCCTAGTATATTATCTGTGATATCTAAATCCATTTCGGTCTGTATAATCCTACTAATATTATAATTGCGAAAGTTTGTGAGTGTTTGTGTGTTTGTTACTCTTTCACGTTCAAACGGTTGAACCGATTTTGATAAAATTTTGTATACAGGAAGCTGACGTCCAGGAATAACACATAGGCTACTTTACATCCCGGAAATCTGCGGGTAACACCGCGGAGCGCAGCTAGTATATGGTAATCTGATCATACAAAACCATGACCTACCACAACAGGGCTAAGAAGAGACACGAAGTTACAGAACCGGCTCCGTTCTTCTATCAGAGCGGCCTTCACCGCCTTTTCTTCCATCTCTTCCAATTGCTGCTTTCGTTCTTGGATATCCTTTATAACATAATACATCAAATATATCTTTCACTACTTATATATATGGAGATAGTAGGAAAGGGTGGAATTGGGAAAGGGTACCAAATTTCTCACTCATCTAACGAAACTCAGTCATTAAAGGCTAATTCACGCCGAGGTACTTCCCCGGTCGAGCCAGTCCATTTTCGAGCTGTAGTAACTTGACCATAGCTAGGCTCTACGACCTATAGATTATACCTACAGTATAATTCTCATACAAACCTGCAAACACACATCTGCCCTTCGTTTAACATCTGGATTCGTCCGCCTCGCTTTCCTAGCGTGTCTCTGAGCGTCATGGACCCGCCTGCGAAGCTCAGCCCTAGCTCGTTTACACTCACGAGCGTGTTCCCGGCTCAATGCACCGGTACCATTACAACCGCGACGCCATTCATCAGCCCGCTCCGATAATGGAGATATAAGACGCTCCATTAACGTGCTACAGAGAAAAGTATTGTTTTTTGATATGTAATTTTGGACAGAAATGTTTCTAGAGAAAGAAAATCTTAAATTTTAAATAGCACTATTTGTTTAAGACAACAAATCGTACAATAACTAGTTTTGGAGTTCATCCTGAGTAATGTGTATAAATAAAGAATTAGGAACAATTTTTATTTTTTACGTTAATTTAATTTTTCAATAACATAACTTATTAACAAAAATATTCAATAAGGAAAATATCCAATGATAATAATTAATATTAATTGAATATTTTCCCCACAATCTTAATGTAATGATTTGACACAATAACATATTGTGTTTAAAGTTATAAACTGTTTTACTGCTTGCCGGATTTTTTTTACAAAATGAATTACATAATAAACTATATATAATACGATTATTAATTTTAAAATATTCCAAGAGTTTCCTATAAACATTATACATATATATACATAATGAATAAATATTGTACCTGATAAATGTTTTCATTCTGGTTTCTATAGCCCTGTGTCTAAGGCAGACCCTTGTTAATGCCGTTCCTATTTCCTTTGTGGCTCCTGTAACAAACAAACGAACATTCATTAATTATTGTACTACTAAATTTCTGCATATATTATTGTTTTCAAACCAAAACATGTTTATCATTAGAATTGATTCTCCCGCTAGGGATATCGTTAATTAAGATTTATTGACATAGCTTTTATATGAGAAAAAATGGTATATGCGTATTAAAAATAATGACCAATCTACAGTATTATACGTGTTATCTTAATGAAAAATATCCTTTAAGGATTTCTTGGAATAATGTATAGAGAATATAGAATATGATAAAAATATATAGTGTGGATGTAGCTTAATGAATAAACAACGCGATATTATTGTTATTAAATAATTAATTATTGAGTTTCATATCTTTAATTAAACTGATATTGCCGACATATAACTCAAAACAAATTCCATATCATATATACATATATAAGTTTCAAACATCATTATAATAGAAGAATTGTTTGTAAACAAAATAAGAAGAAAAATTTCTATTGACGTGTTTTGCGTCAAGATAGGATCAGGTTTTAATGTATGATACAACAGTGACAATATGTTTGAAAAGATTGACATTTACCAAGAACCTGACCGAACGGGTGATCTCATTTATAAATTAGACAAAAAAGGAGATCAATTTAATAAATTTATGATCTTATTTATTTGAATTAGAGAATCATATAATAAAAAAATCACCAAAGGAAAAAAACGTGACAGAATCATCACGTTTGATAGTGATAGATTTAAAAAATTACGACGCATTAAAAACGAAATGAATACAAAATACTAATTAAGGCATTTCTTTGAATTATAAATATAATAAAAATAAACCATATAGTAGGTAGAATTTGATTTATTAATTATATGAATAATCTTATCAAACACCTGCGAAATATCTATCAAAAGGTTTTTACCCTCTTCCATTAACATCACATATAATGCCAAATTCGTTTACAAAACATTATAACATCTGAGACATTCAAAAAAGCTCTTTAAATCTACAACATAGAGTTAATTTTAGAATAGGAATAAATTCATATGCAAAAAGAGATGAGAGAAATATTTCTTATCAACAACGAAATTCGATGACCTTTTGTTGGACTTAGATGCAAATTATAATATTGTGTATACCTAAACATTATTTTATACAATGACGTCAGGATTCATAGCACTAAAGATTGTGCTGTGTGTTATCATATAAGAACATTGTAAGCTGCGGTCCGCTCAGTAACATATTAGTTTTTGTATCGTATACACTATGGAAGTCTTTATGAAGAAATTTTTGTTTCTATTTGCTTTGTTCGCCGCTGGGACTGAAACCTTTGGAGGTTAGTCAATTATTTTTCTTGATATTATATGAGAAAAAAATATATTTTTCAGTAGAATGTTCAAAAATTGCTATTTTTATCTGTTTTATAGCTTATAATTTAAAATAAATTTTTATTCCATAAAATTTGTTGCTGTTATTTATAAATATGTGTTATATTTATGAATAATATATTAAATATTATAAATTAATCTAAATAAATTCATAATTATAAAAGCTATGTAATTCATTTCCAAAACATCTTATATAATTTATTTTTTAATAATTAAAAAAATAGGATAATATATTAGAATATATTTTAACTTATAAAAAGATCACTAATTACATGTCATCAAAATAAATCTATTCATTTAAGAAATTCCTTTAACGAATTAGGATTTTATTATGATAAAACATGTAATAGAGAAAATTAAAACGTATGTTATCTTTTATTATACTATACCAATATTTTAAAAATATATATAAGTAGTACAATTAAATTATTATATATGTATATTTATATATAACTACAAATATATATCAAATCAATTTCATTAGACAATAACGATTATTATATTAAACTTGTTTCATATATGTAAACAGGTAAATATATAAATATATACAAGCTGCATATAATCAACGCTTCATTGCTTTTAGCTTGACCTTATATATCTATAATTTTTGTATAATATTATTTAATAATATATTTTAACTATTATTTTTATTTTAACGTAATAGTGTAAGAGGAATTTTTATGACGAGAACATTTATCGAATATTTTTTTGTTTATTATGTATAATAATAAATAAAAATTATATTATTACAGATTCGTGTGATAAAATAGATAGTCCACCCAAACAGGAGACGGGATGCTGCGGCCTTGACGCTGCAGATGATGATCTTCAAATAAGTGAGTATATACCTAAGAACATATCCATGGCAACTAAAATACATAATATAAACATAAAATACGTATACGTAATGCAAATTAATCCTAAACCGGTTTTGATGTGATTGATTTAATTTTATATTCATAGAGATGTGTCACTCCTATTAAACACCATTGATTTGCAAACTTAATTATTTCAACCTATTAATGATTGTATTACAAATGTACATATATGCATTCGTATTATTTGAATTTATCAAACAGTTTTTCTATACAAGTTTTTTAAGTGTTAAAAATTTATATAAATATATCCTCATGTTAATATAAGTTTATAATGATACTATAAATATTTTTAGTTAATCAGAGGAGAAAAAATGTTTTTCATTATAGCACACTTATCTGAAATCCCAAATTAGATCACAGTTAGGTAAAAAAATAAATTAGATGTCCTTAATTATTTTAAAGATTTAAAATAAATCTATATTTCAATGTAGTTTTTTTTGTAGTATTTTAAATTATTATCGTTCTTTAAATACTTATATCAACATTTGCATTATCCTTAAAAACATATCCTACGTATGAAGGCTAGCTAGTAGTATGTAAGCATTAAGCTTGCCTTGATTTTATAATTCGTTTAAAATAAATAAATAAAAAGTACTGAAATATTTCTTTATACTTAAACTATGAATACTTTATTAGTAAGTAGTGTGATAAAATAACATAGACTAGCTTTAGTCAAATTACATTAAAATCTTCAATTGCAACTTTAATCAGTGCATAAAATAATTCATTTAAATCAGTTTGAATGAAAGACATAAAATGTAAATGAGAATACATCCTAGCTTTTATAGAACGGGTTATTTAAAAATACATTTGTATGAATGAATTAATATTTATATTAATTTAATTTTTACAGGTGGCGAGGCAGCTATCAACCAGTTTCCGTGGCTGGCGTTGATTGAGAATAAAGATGAAAGGATTACATGTACTGGAGTATTGATAAGTTCTCAACACGTGTTAACAGCAGCACAGTGTAATTACCATGGACCGTAAGTACTAAATATATATACAAAGAAAAATCCAATATATTCGTCTTTATTTATTTGATTGATTTATATCTAAACTTGATCCTTTATCAATTTGAAATAAAAGATACATATTTACGACTCAAATATATAACTTACTAATTTTTGGAAGTGTTAATTTCTGCATTAGTAATATATGTATAGCTGACCGGGCGAAATCTATTCCGTCCTATAGGGCGTAAATAACCAAATTGATAATAATTATTAAGTATTTTTTTTCTTTTTCGATCGAACAGAATTAAATATCCTATGACCATTTCCCGGTTCTAAGCTATCTCTCCACCAATTTTCAACCAAATCCCTACAGCCATTCTTAAGTTATAAATAGTGTAACTAACACAACTTTATTTTATCAAAAATAAATTCGTAACATTATCATCAATAGAAGCTCTTTATTACAGTGTCAAAGTACGTTTGGGTGAATATAATAAAACCCACTCGGGGCCCGACTGTGTGGTAGTAGATGGTAAGAAGGTGTGCAACGATGGTGCGATCACCATCCCCATAGCTACCGTCATATCACACCCTGAGTTCCAACGACCCAATCACAAGGGACACGATATAGCTCTCATCAAACTGGCTGATAAAGTGCCATTCAATGGTAAGGACGAATCCCTACTATATAATATTATAAATGCGAAAGTAACTCTGTCTGTCTGTGTGTTACGCTTTGACGCCTAAGGCACTGAACTGATTTTAATGAAATTTAGTACAGAGATAGAGTTGACCTTGAGAAAGGACATAGGATAGTTTTTATCTTAGACTTTTGAAAGGTTCTCTTGGAAACGCGAAATAACCGAACTCCATGCGGACGAAGCTGCGGGCGAAAAGCTAAGTAACACATACTTCACATATTACACTTGCGATTTTCTTGGAAAGCCAAAAAGAAAAATCTTTTATAAATGGTAATTTTTTTTGTGATTTTTCCAGACAATTCAGTAATATATTGAAGTCATAGATAACCTATTTAATTGTTCAGTCTTTAATAATACTCATAAATAACATATTAAATCATTCACTTCTTAATAACTGTAGAATGATTTTTTTAACCAAACCAATAAATCTGTTAAATAAAATCAATTTATAAAAACAATAATTTCATGCTTATACTGTAATGGAATACTTCCTTTCTACGTTACGCTTCTGAATATTTTTTTTATAAAACGTTTACCATAGTTATTATAAAACTTATAAGGAGTAAGTATTTCAATTACTAAATATTTACAATAGTGTTATTTAAGAGAATTATACTTGAGAGATACAATATTATTTATTCCAAATCAATTAAAGCAGAACTAAATTCCTTCAGCTTATATCTTCATATGAAACATTATAAACTGTATTTCTGTGTTTCCATCTACAGAGTTCATTCGTCCCATATGTCTGCCGAGCAGCGATGTATTAATATCACCACCTTCAAACCTTCGCCTGGTAAACGCCGGTTGGGGCAGCCGACCTTCCAGTAGTTATGAAGACGATGTAGTCAAACATTACGTACAGTTGCCGTATGTTGATAATAAGGTAAATACAACTAATATTTTATTGAGATAATCATTGAATTAAGATTCAAATAGATAATAGTTGCTGAATTGTATAGAACTTTTCGAAATATATATTCTATACTAGCTTTCCGCCCGCAGCTTCGCCCGCGTGTTGTTCGGTTATATCGCGTTTCAAGAACCTTTCAAAAGTGTGGGATAAAAACTATCATATGTTCTTTCTCAAGGTCAACTCTATCTCTGTACCAAATTTCATTAAAATCAGTTCAGTGGTTTAGGCGTGAAAGCGTAACAGACAGACAGACAGAGTTACTTTCGCATTTATAATATTAGTAGGGATTGAAATTGTCTATAAATATTGATATCAATATATCTGTTGTAGAATCATCCGTGTCATATTTAAAAATATTAATAACTGAATTCAATCTAGTAAAAAAAAAACTATTTCTTCAAATGGGAAAATTTCTTGTGAATGGTAGTAGGAAATTCTAGTATCATAATCAATAACGTAAGTAGAATTTGATAGATCGTTTAACATTTAAGACATAAAGCATAAACATTAAATTCGAATGAAGTATCATAGTCTGGTTGGATGTAATGTAAAACATTAAATAGAAATATCCAGTACATTTTTTTAATATTAAAAAATATGCTTTTTTGTAGCTATGTAATATTTTGTTTTATTATTGTATGTATATAGTTACATTTAATTTAATCAAGACAAAATTAATATATTGTTATTAACATATTATGAAATAGTTACGTAACAAAAAATACAATATATTTCCAGACTTGCCAGAAGGTTCATAGTTCATTGAAGGACACATCATATCAGATAAGGGATAGTCACATATGCGCTGGTGGTGAAAAAGGCTTAGACTCCTGCCGAGGTGACGGTGGCGGGCCACTTATGTACAAGGATGGTGGTTTGTACACACTAGTGGGTATTGTCAGCTTCGGCAGAGTACCTTGCGGTGTAGAAGGTGTACCCAGTGTGTACACAAAAGTGTACTCCCACATCCCATGGATAGAGAGTCTCATAAAATCGTTATAATTATAATTTAATATATCATAATGTATTAGTAATGTGATATTTTTTTTAATTGGCTTTATAAATAATGTGATAATTACATATGTTAGTTTCATTTTATATTTACTTCGTCAATCTAAAATAATATGCTTATACATAAATGTCAGTACAGTTTTTTTCTCGAAATAATAAAATGACAGAACAGAGAAAAAGAAAAGTGAACTTATTAAAGAGAGAATAATTTCAGTGAAATGACCACAATTATAATAATGTTAAGAAAACACCCTTTTTGGTTATTATTACTTTCAAGTTATGTAAAAAAATCACTGTTTCTACATATAGTCTCTTTGTAATTTTAAAAGTAATCATTTTTTCAAATTTCATATATCAATACGTATAAATATATTTAAATTTCTGTGCTTTTGGTTCTTCCGGCTTATCTTTGAAACCGCTCGGCCTTTGACGGAACTTTCACTAGCAGAAAGGTTTGTTAATAAAGAGTAACTGAGACTTTATATTTCATATATATTTTTTTGAATTTCAAACTCTCCCAAAACTAAATCGCAAGCACGGCTAGTTAGTCGTTACACTATTTCATACATACATATATATGTGTATTAGAATATAATTATTTTTTCTATGTATTTCATTGCAAATTATTAGTTTTCATGAAACAATATACTTGTCCTAAAAATGTTAATGTGTCAAGTTAGACAAGTCATCGTGTTCTCAAGGTGATAAAGTAAAATACGATGAATTAAATGTATCGAATAATAACAACTTGCAATTACATATACTGCACTGTCCATGAAAAGTGAAATGTTTGTATGACACTGTTAATCAGTACTGAGATTTAAAACATATACCTAGATACTTATTCAATAGTGACTCAAACCAGATCAGTAATCTTAGTCGAATTTTGAATGTTAATTGTTTATTTCTTCTAAATGATATTAGAATCAAAACTAGTATTACGCTTATTACCAGAATTAGTGATCACTGATGCTAAAGAAGTATATTCAGATATGGTTTTGTTAATGAATATAATTAAAACTTATAATGGTGATAGACTTTCGGTGTAGTGGAAGTATAAATGTAGCTAGTAAGTTACAATAGTAGGTATAACTAAAATGGATGATACTGAATGCATGAGCATTTACAACAAAGTGTAACTTTATATTTTTTATTGAGCCAAAAAAAATACAACTAAGTCTTCTGAACCAATGAAAGTTTCAATGAAGTAATATTTTTGTCAAACGCTGTGCACGTATAAAAACCTTCTCATTTATAAACTTAACTCTCCAAAACAAAATAACGGTTTGTAATCAGGGGATTCACCTGTACGGACTTAGCATTGGAAGAGACTGTAATATGTTTATATGTAATATGTTTATTATTTATATGTTATGGAAGAGGCCAGAAAAATACATTTGACCCAAGTTGGCATTCGTTTCTCTACTTACCAAGCGTCTCTCTCGATTCTCATACAAAAACTTATATTAATACAATAATGTGCGAAGATTTATGAAGTAAAAACTGTAAACGCTACGTATATAATGTGACGATGCTTAGAATATTATCTGCAAATTTTTTAAGCCCTTTAATAATAAAAATTACGAAACCTTTTAAAGAATTCCAAAGTAAATCCAAACAATAACAAAAATCCAAAAGTAAATCATTTAAACTGGAAAATTTTATTCATTATAGTTCTTAATTAATAATTTTACTATACAACAGTTAATGGTCGAAATAATTAGGATGTAATTATAAAGTCGACATCACAATTACGTCATCGCATACTGATAATAATGATCAATTACAAGTACCATATGTACTATTTAATAATGATCAATTTAATTTAAGATACATGGCATAATTTACGACCTACCTTTTATGTAATATAAATAAAGAAATAAACAGTTCTTTAAGGGATTTAAAAATAACATCATCAATAATAATGATATGACTACTAGCTGCGCCACGCGGTGTTACCCGCGGATTTCCGGGATGTAAAGTAGCCTATGTGTTATTCCTGGACGTCAGCTTCCTGTATACAAAAATTTATTAAAATCGGTTCAGCCGTTAGAGCGTGAAGAAGTAACAGACATACACACACACTCACAAATTTTCGCAATGATAATATTAGTAGGATAATAAAGATATAGAAAGTAGAGACAAAATTTACGAAACACTTGATCGTAAGCTATAAAACGTGACTAACAATATATATATTAGTACTGGTTCTTCGCTTGTTTGCTTTGTTTTTCATCGTTTGATGACGTCATTGCAAATATAACCTCAGTGTCCAAAGACAGATCGTTACAATGCCATCGGTGTGTCTTGAAGCCATTCATGTGCATATTATGAAATGTGTATTTACTCTTTTAACTTTACTGACACAATTGAAGATAGAATGGAAATGTTTTGAACATCGAGACTTTTCCATTTTTAGCTATCGTAGTTTTTAAATTTAATATTCCTTTAATCCATTAAACGCGCTTGGTTCAGTTCAGCAAACCTATTACTAATATATGTACATACATTTACATAAAAAGGAATATTTATATAAAAAACAACATTTTGGACGTAAATTTGAACAAAAATTTTTGATTTACCATATAAAGGCACATGTAATTATTATTTACAAAATATAAGATAAATAATAAAGGCATCGATTTAGTAAGAAAAAATTAGAAGCAACTGTCGCAATACAAGTATTACGTTAAAGTTTTTTTATATTCCGCATTAATTAATAAAACCAAAAAAAAAACCAAGAAAAAAAAATCTAAACAATTCCCAGATCATTGTATCTTTAATATAATAAAATTATTTCATAAAACCAAACATTAGATAATATCAACAATAGAGATCAAAAACTCAAATTATATGACCACTGAGCATCGTAAGTCAGTATGTCGCCGGCGTTGGGAGACGCAAGACGTGTTACGATGTGATTCATTTGAACAATAATTGTATTACTATAAAATGTTAATAATATTTGTGTTGTGTATATTATTTTCTAACTATAATGAAGTTTATGGACGTAAGTTTTTTTATATTTATGTGATATATGTAATAAGATGTAGATTTAGTTATATATGGTTATATACCGTACGTGCTTATTTATTTTTTTGTAATTAACGTCTAAGAATCAATTATTTAATTATATTTTTTTATATTTAGTTGTTACTGTGATGCTCTTTTCCTGATAAAACTAATGATTTCATCGACTAATTATTGTGTGTGTATATTAAAAACAAATTAATAAAATATATATTAATTTAATGATGTTTTATCACTACTATATTTATTAAATATACATAAGACTCGAATGGGAAAAAATCAATTTTATAAGAATAAGGTAAGAGTTATACTACATATAAAACATATATATTTACAATATTTGATAAAAAAAACTCTGCTTTTCTATTTTTAATCCGTTGACTTCTTTGGTAAGGATTTTTTTTTATTTGTTAGTTTAAAATTAATCTTATTAATACACTATAAAAAATCCCAGGAACACGTAAGTCATGATCGCTACCAAATAACTGACAGTAGAAAATAACTTAATGTTTTAAAGTTATGATTGCTTATCTTATTTGAACATAATATTCTTAGAACTACAAAAGAAACTAACGTTTTTAATACTATATAAAATAGAAAATAATTAATATATTTTCTGATATGTATAGTGCTCCTATTTTTATTAATAAAACCTCGCTGTTAAAACAAAAATTTGAAAAAAACTTGTATCAGCTATTTCACTAATATTGCAAATATAAGAATATTCTACTTATCCGCAATAACAAACGCGATTGTTTAACTAATATGTATCATCTACATATGTTAGGTATAAAAAAGCAAACATATTCATTTTTTCCTACAAGTTTTTATGGAACCAAAGTTTTTTTAATACAAAATACCCACTCAATAGTTTCAGCGTTTTTATGTCACTTTTTGAAAAAAAAAAAAAGTTTATTTAGTATGCTAACATTGCATACATTATATCTTACATAGTATTACCCAAGCTTCTTAGGTAAAATCCAAAAAGTCTTGGGTAAAATAAAAATAAAAATTTTGATCCGAGATTTACCTATGCTCACTTAGATCTACCCGACTATGACTGGGTAATATTAAGAGTTTGGCTAAATAATTAGCGTAATGAAAATCCATGAGCATTGTAAACAGTTATTACTTAAAAAACATAGAAAGGCAAAGTAATCGTTTAAAGAACCTAAAATAAACAGATTTAATAGTAAAAACAAATACCTTTCATTTTTATGAAATTTAAAATTATCTATCTCAGATAAAGATAAACTGCTGTGACTTTTTAAAATACAAAATTTGCCTGCAGCTTTGCGTAAACATTTCTTTGTAGCACATTTTGTTTTGCAATTATAACTTTTATACGCCTAGCCTCCTGAAAGCGATTCTTCATTTACAAGCTCTCCTAACCAGTTTATCATGACACACCGAAAGCAAACTCTCTAAGACCATTTCCTCAATAGTACCACGTTCGTTTTCTAGCCTATAAAGCTCATCGGCTTTTTCTATACCTGCCATAAGCAAATTCCGAAACTCGCCTCTTCCTCTAACGACATCTGGTATTTAGACTCTTACCGTATCGTCAATCGAACTTGGAGGAAATTTTAAACTAGATAAGGCTTTCATTTATTTAGCTTGATTTTCTAATTTCAATCTGTCACATAATCCATGTTCATTTATGGTTTGTTGAGTAGTAAATATTTCACATAAGTTTATTTCTTGTATACTACTTGCTAAGTCAACCCGGGTAACCTAATGTTTACTCCAGCTTCTAGCATTACCCGAAATATATATCAATGTTTGTATGAGGAGTAATTTATGATATATTTGAAGAAGTTGAACTTAAAACAAGGGATATATAAAACAATAATAAAAATAATAACAATAAGACATAAACACATTGCAATAGTATCAATAAATAGTCGTATGAATTTTTGTGTGAATTTATTAGTAAGAAAATTGTTTTACTTGTTCCATTTTTCCATGTTAGTAAAGTTTGAAATGAATTGATACATATCTCTCATGCGTAATTGTGAAAACAAAAGGCAGACAAGCGCTAGCTACAAGTAAAACATAATGTTGTCTTATATTCATTGATATTGCAATACAATTTGATTTGATAACAATAAATCACAGTTTATATTCAAGAACTGCGAATGTTTGAAACGTACAAGTATCCTACTAATATTGTAATTGCGAAAGTTTGTTAGTGTATGTGTATGTTTGTTACTTCTTCACGCTCAAACGGCTGAACCGATTTTGATAAAATTTTGTATACAGGAAGCTGACGTCCAGAAATACCACATGGGCTACTTACATCTCGGAAATCCGAGGATTTACGGGATCAAATGCTTTTTCAAAATTAGTTTGAATAAGCTTTAACTGGTTCAGTGACCTTAAAACACCAAAGGATAAACTAAATTACTAATTGCTAATATCTGTCTCGTAAATTCGTGTTATTTTTAAGATAATCTTTAACTTTTTATTGAACTGCATTGTACACATTTTTTATATACAGTTTTATTTGATTGCAATTTTTTTAATTCAAAGATTAATACAATAAAATAATCAGATAATTATGTTAAACACAGATCGATAGCGCGCCTTTTTGATATTTGATTTTATATAGCTTCTATTTCTATTATTTCTTGATTACAAATTATTTAAAAAATTGAGTTCAACAAAAAAAAAATGTTTTTCATTCGACATTAAAAGAAGCAATATATTTAATTAATTTACATGTGCTTTTCGATATTGTGGTTTACCTTCTGAATTATCAGACACTTGTTTTCCCGTAAACACCTTTGCTCTACATTAACTGAAATTTGGATTTAAAAATATATATATCATTAGTGGTTAGATCATTAAGTATACTTAAATTGATATATACTTACTTGGTTATTGAAATGAATTTTCCTCAAATATTAATTTCAATTTTATTTCTTTACGTTGATGTTAAAAATTCAAACAGCTTATAAAGACGTATTTAATTTAACAACTATCATGACTAGTGTTAAAACGTTTCATTTTATTCTAGAATCTAATTGCAATAATCCAGATGGAAAAACTGGTACATGTATACCTATCAAGGATTGTCAACCACTGATAGATCTAGCCAAAAAACGGGATAGAACAGAAGAGGAGACACAGTATTTAATAGATTCCAGATGCGGATCACTTGATACTATAAAGGTGAGAAAAATATCTAAATCAAAATTAAGATGTCATATAAAGTTTAGTTGTAAAATAATTAAATATATTTATTATTAATCTCGTTTCGTCTGTTCGTGCTAATAGTTGCTGAAAAGTAACTGAAACATCGGAAGAATGTAATTCTAAAATAATAAAATAAGCACAGTAATCCGAATATTAGTTTCATTTAAATGAATACTAACGAAAGTCTTAGATCTCTTTATAAAATTAATTATTTATAAAAACAGTATCATAACAATTCAAAAGGACAATCATTTTATTTTGAAATCTTGAACTTTATTTCTAGTTTTTTTTGTAATATATAAATATGTAGAGTAGTCATAAAAATGAAACTAATATTTTGCGGACTACTACATACTTACTACGCGTATTTTATTATCTCGTGTGCCCGTCATTACGGTTCCTGAAAAGTAACCGAAACCTCGGGAGTATGTAATTTTAAAATAATAAAATACACATAGGTATGTAGTATAATCCGAAAACCAATAGTTCTATTCAAATGATTACTCGCTCAAATCTTAGATCTCATTGGTATCATATATTTCGTCTTTCAGGTGTGTTGTGTAACAGAGTCAAGCGAATTGGAAGATGCTAGATGCTTTAACCCTGATGGCAACCAGGGTATTTGCTCTAACGTCAATACTTGCCCATCCATCATAAAACTCCTTACAACACCGATATCAGAAAGTAATCTAGAATTTATTAGAAACTCAAGGTCAGTCTTATATTATTTACAAAACTTTGTTTAATTATATCAACCTTTTTTATTGGCTACTCTTAAGCCATTTGTAAGCAAAACGATCCTTCATACATAATTTCATTATTACTATTCTTTAAATGATTTATGTATCAAAGACCGGCTATTTCAATGTGTCAACTATTTTATATTCTGTAAACATTTGTTCACAATAAATACTTTTTAATTAATTTAACAAAACATATACTCATCGTGTATAAGACACTTACGAATGTCACAATACTTTTAAATATTCTATTGTTATTTGAATTAATAATTTTTGATAACCTTAACCGGACTTGAAATAAATAATATTATGATTTAATATCGGAGAAATCCAATATTATTTCAGGTGCATAGGATCTTCAAAATATAGTGTATGCTGTGGCCCAGATCATGTTGAGAGACCTGTATTGAAGAACTGCCAGCTATCACCAGCTCCGCCCGACCCTCGAACTGAGTGCTGCGGCCTAGACGCATTTTCAGGGAATAAAATCTATGGTGAGTTTTCTTTGAATTTTAATATTTTAGTCAGGGAATACCCATGGCTCAGTGATCATGATAATATCTCACAAAAGACAACTTGACAAAAATGGGTTTTATGTATAGACATCAAAACATTGAGAGCATCCTTTCGAAAACCTCATTTTTCCAAAAACAGAAACTAGCAAGCACAGCTACAAATTTTATATTACGAACCCAGCCTATAAGTACATTGTTTTTTTGAGAAGCAACTAAGGAATATATAGCTGCTATCCTAAGAATTCTAATGAGTTAAAACGTTTATCGCATTCTACAATACAATTATTTCAACCAAAGCTCATAGAATACTAATGAACCTATAACATAAAAATATTAAATATATGAAGCGTGAGTCGAAAATGTAATATAAAATTTCTCGACGAAGAGTCCGGTTTCAACTAAATGTTTTCAACAATGTTTTGTAATATAAGTAAATGGATTGTCATAACACAAACAAAATATATTTCAATCACGATTCTCACTTGTAATTACAATTACTTCAGGTGGGACCGATACAGCTATAGATCAGTATCCATGGATAACTCTCATAGAGTACAGGGACAAACACAATAGAATAAAACTACTCTGTGGAGGTGCTCTTATAAGTTCCAAATACGTGTTGACGGCTGGGCATTGCGTCGCCGGACCAGTTCTGAATGTCGGACAACCGTAAGTATCCAAGTAAAGTTCCAAAACGCTTATAAATTTCACTATTGACAAAAATTGTTAGGTGGTAAAGCCTAGCTTTATTCAAGTTACTACAGCTCGAATATGGACTGTCTCGACCGGGGGTGTACCATTCCTCACAGAAGATCGGTGAGATGTAGCTTTTAAAGGCTGCGTTGCGTCCGATGAGTGAGGAATCCGGTTGCCCTTTCCCTGTTCCCACCCTTTCCAGCCATTCCCTTATTCCCACTCCTCCCTTTTCCTCAAAATCTAAAGTTTGCAACTCATCCGCAACAGAGATGTTTCGTATGTCCATGAGCCATGGTGGCTACTGCTATCAAGTAGGCCGTCTGCTCGTTTGCCAGCTTTCACATAAAATGATAACAAATTCATTTCCAGGGAAAATATAAGACTTGGTGAATACAACACAACGAATGATGGTCCAGATTGTGTTGAAACACCAATGGAAGAATCAGATTGTACAGATGGTGTGGTTGTGATACCCATCGAGAAGATTATACCACACCAGGGCTACAACCCGAAGTCCGTGTTGAAACGGGATGATATTGCATTGATAAGAATGACAAACTATGCAAATTACACAGGTATATACAACATATATAAATAAAAAATAAAATAAAATAAATATACACGTTACTATAAGCAAATAAATTTTTGGTCTTAACGTCTTTTTAATTTAATGCATATTTATATTCACTTTCCACATAAAAGTGATTTCTTTGGAAAACAGAGATCCGTTATGGATAGCATTTTTTGAATAGTAATACAAATTTTGATTTTACAGCACCATAGATTATACTGAAGTATTCTAAAATAAGGTTTGATCACCATTTAGTAATGTTTTTGAATGATGTTTCATTAATTATCATTCCAGATTTCATTAGACCGATCTGTCTTCCAACTACGGATGTAACACTGTCTAAAACTGATTTAGTTTTCTACGCCGCTGGTTGGGGAGCGGTATCGATTGAGGAGAGATTCAGCCCTGTTAAACTTCATGTTGATTTACCATTTAGACTGTTAGAGGTAAATTAATATTTATTTCAATACCAAAACCTATCAGTCGATTGATTGACCTTTTTAGTATATACCGCAAGATGTTATCGAACTCTCATCTCTATAATATGTTACAGTAGTGATAAGTTAAGAAAACAACGGGTTTAATGTTGCGAAATTGTTATTCCAGGAATGTCAAAAGGCCTACAACGTTTCCACCAGAAAACTGGAACTATGGAACCGTCAGTTGTGTGCTGGAGGTGTGAAGGGTAAAGACACTTGCCGAGGAGACTCTGGCGGGCCTCTGATGTATGACAACGGGAGGTCTTACTCCGTCATAGGAGTCGTCAGCTTCGGACCCTCGCCGTGCGGCTTGGAGGACGTGCCGGGAGTTTACACCAAGGTCTACGATTATCTGCCTTGGATAAGGACGCACATTAAACCTTGACCCCGAAGTAAAAGATTAAATTAGAAAATTTATTAACTATTAAGATTGTTGGGTATTTGTTTGACAACCCAAGAGGAAAACCCAAGATCTTTGACGTCTGATGTTTGCAGAGTTTAATGTGATATTTAAGTAAATAAATTTAATTGAACCGTTATATATACGAGCTGTCGGTTTTGTTGAATAGTCAATGTCGTTGATAAGTGTTAATAAATAATAAAAACAAAATGCCATAACGCGATATACATTATAAGAAGAATGTAACTAAACTGGTTGTATAAGGATTTATGAGAAAAAATATTAGCCTAAGCTATTATGTATTAATTTAAACTCTATTTTTAATTCTATAATAAATTTAAATTATTTTTCATGTGTATTTAAATTTTAATTACATATCAATGGTAATGAACGAGAAAAGTAAATTATTTGGTAAGTATACATAAACTATTTATTGAAATATCAAATCGTTTAATGATTCGTTCACACATTTCGTTGATAAAAAATACACCCATATCTATAAAACCTTGCCGTCAGTGACAAATACAACAAACACATATTGTTACAATTCTATTATTCTTGAACCTTTTCGTTTGATTTTGTTATTGTTCAGTCACATTAAGGGTTTGTTAAATGAATAAAAAGTTTAATAAATATTGAAGCTTTTCTTGAATTGTTTAAAGCAATCGAATGAAAAAAAAATACTTGATGATATTTATTATGCCAACTTTAGTTCTGAACAAACAGCACTCAATTTATACAGACCTCGCTGAAGTATTTGACGATCAGCGAATATTGTTAGAACAAAATAATTAACATTGACTTGTGAATAATTATTTTTTCACAATTTGATTAGAGGTTTAAAAAAAAACTGTAAGGATTATAACAGAAAAAAAGTAACATCAAAAGAGAAAATAATCAATGTAAGGTAAATAAATTAAAAAATGTGAATATTATTCGTTTATTATTTTCTATATTGAGGTGTCACTTGTTTCTAGTATTGCAAGTAAGTTTTCAATGCCGTTTTTATATTAAAATATTTAATATATGTTTATGTATTTACCAGGATTAACACATACATTTTCAACAATAGACAAAAACGAATATAATACGAAAAATATATACGCTAAAATCCAGTTTCAATAACAACAAAGCGCCATCTTGTGACGACTTATGGAATTACCGTCTCAACGTCAGGCGTTTATATGTACTTTACTTCTAATGATTGAAAGAGTTAACGAAAGTATGAGTTATATAAATATAAATCTTACCACCAGTTTGAATCACAGTGTAAACGATTCGTTCTGTTTCTCATTCAATAAGCTATGTTAATTCTTACACTTATTACATTTACAAATAATAATGCTTTGCAGTGATTCCTAACCAATTTTAATACAGTAGTTATTCACACAAAGCACCGGCTTTCAACCGTGATTAAAGTGTAATACAAATTCATAATGTTTTATCGAGTCTACTGGCGAGTGAATCTCAAAAAGTGTTGACCATTGACATCATGTTATAACAACTAAAAATATCAATAATAGGTGTTGAAATCACACCTCCTCCGTAATATTGTATCTAAATACATATAACACACATTTTAAACACCTTATAAGAATACCGAAATCATTTGAATTATTTAACCGAATTATTAACTAAATACAATATTAAACTAAACACAAAAGAAAAATCTTGACAAGTTTTTGTGACTTTCCTTAAAAAAATTTAATCAAAAATAAATTTTCATAACTTTTTTCATATCTTCAATAGAAAGAGAATTAATTTTATCATGGAATCGGTCTGTATTAACTCATATGAATGAACTGGTATGTGTATACCTTTCGGGGACTGTCAGCCAATAATAGATTTAATAAAAATATATGTTAAGGCTGCAAAGAACATATAATTCTTGAGAGAATCACTATGTAGTTCCCAAGACACAATAGAGATGAGATATAAAATATGAACTTATGTACTACATAATAAAGATAATATTGAAATTCTCATTTCGTTTATTTAGACTCTATAAGTAGATAACATTCTTAAATTTATCATAAATAACGATGATTAGATCTTCTATTTAAGTTTTTTAATGTAGTTTTAATACGGTGTCAAAAATTTTTTATTATTATTATGGTATTTGTTACTACAACATATTCATAATAGACAAGGATTTTTTCTTTTTTCCAAGGAAATATGATATAATATATTATGTAAAACAATAAAATCTTTTGAGGTGGAATTTAAAATCTTAAACTCTCAGAAGATAGTCCGATATTTAAAAAAAATAAGCATATAAATGCATGAACAATACGAAATGCATGTTCCATTATTATTTAAAATTTTATTAGACCGATCTGTCTTCCAACTTTGGAAGTAATATAATTTATATGTATATGAATGAAGTTTTGTAATTGTTAGGGTTAATAACTTAAAAGTGAAGATTGTATTTTGGTTCAATAGACAATCATACTTTGAAATTCCAGAGTTTGTATGATGTGTTTTAGTTTGTCAACTATGCAAAACCATTGAATCGGAATGTAGGATACCCACAAACACTTCATAGGATTACCGTGGGTAGTCCCGAATCTATTCAGGGGAATCCCACGTACCCCTTTTTACCCTCCCATCCCCAGTTCTCCCCTTGGGTTAAACGAGTGTTAAACGGCTTGCAAAACAAAAAGGTAACCTATAATTTATAAGGAGTACTTTTGTTATGTATAATTAAATAGGAATCAAGTCACGAAATAAATCTACTCATTGTTTCCAAGGATAACAATTAATAAATAATAAATCAGTAGATAGAACTAACATTATGGAGGAAAATAAACTCGTGTGGTACGTAATCTCATATAACTTTTATATGATAAGTATGTACAAATATAACATCATTATATTTATCAAACAAAAATTTGTAATAGCCACAAATTATTATGAATCATATATATTATGAGTCAGTGTTAGTTCACAGAAATGTGTTGTTTTTACAACGAACTTTTCACAGCAACAATGGTAATTTACACATAAATAATGTAAGGATTTTCATAGTAATGAAAATTTTCCAATAACACACAATTAATAAATCTTCTAAATCCCTACTAATATTATAAATGCGAAAGTAACTCCGTCTGTCTGTCTGTTACGCTTTCACGCCTAAACCACTGAACTGATTTTAATGAAATTTGATACCAATATATAGTTGACCTTGAGAAAGAACATAGGATAGTTTTTATCCCAAACTTTTGAAAGGTTCTCTTGGAAACGCGCTATAACCGAACTCCACGCGGGCGAAGCTGCGGGCGGAAAGCTAGTACAAAATATTTTGATAAAAAATACCCTATATATAGATAAAATTTACTTATCAAACAGTATGTAATATAGCAAATTAGCGTACATTTGATAGTAGTGTTAAATTTATGCGTTCAATTATTATCTAATATAAAGTGTCAGTTAAAATAATCAGTTAGTTCAGTGCGGTTGTGATTTCAATATGATTGTGTATCTGACTTTATTATGTGTGTTCTTAAACATTGCTGTAGGAATAGAAGGTTTGTCTGTTGAAATATTTTATTAAAACATCTTATGACAATGAAAGCCGTACATCAAATAAATTATATTAAAAATGTATGTACATTAAACAAAAATTATTTTGCAAGAAGATTTGGAACAAAGAAATAAGAAACTATGAAGTGTAACAAACACATCCACTACGTTGTAAAATATGAAGTTTAAATCAAGAATTTAATTGTAAAAAAAAAATATTTTATAGTATCTCATTTGTTTTGACTATAAAAACATTTCTTTAATGGAAGAATTATCACAATTACAATAAATAGGAGACAAAAAGACAATTATTAAAGTACAGTATCTCAATCCAAATATTGTTAATATATTATATATACATATATACATAATATATAATAATAAGTTATATTTTTCTCAACTTGCTTCTATAAGATTTATATATTTCTTTAAACTCATTTAAACAAGACTTATTTTTTTATTTTATATTTAAATTTGAACTTACATAGGTTATCTTATCTTTACCATGATTAGTATTTGAATACAGTCTAATTAAATGTTTATGTTTTACTCTTTTATAAATCTACTAGAAGACCCGGCGAACTTCGTATCGCCCTATAATCAAGAAATATCTGTTAGGTTTTTTTATTTATATTTTTGGAGTTTACTTATTAAAGCCATAAATCTCCGTGTTTTGAAGTGCGACAGAATGATTGACATATTAGTTATTTGTCAAATCTAATGTAAAAAAAAAGTTTGTATCAACAACTACTAATAAATTAAAAATTAATTAAAAAAACATTGTCCAGCGGACAAAATTGTGAATCTAAACCATTCCCAGATCGCCTTGAACATACACAAAAAATTTCATCAAAATCGGTCTAGTCGTTTGAGAGAACTTCAGTGACATTCACACTCACACAAGAATTATATACATAAAGATATAAATTATTTTTTCCTTTTATAAGTGTTTTCAAACCCTTATTCGTCGTCTATACTAAGCATCGAATTCAAAAAATAGCATTAACAATAAAACTTATATAGAAATAAGGTCAGTTTGAAATTCGAGTGAAATTATTAAAAAAAATTCGAAAAATAAAAAAGCATTACTTAAAAATTCTTTATATACCAATAATCTTGGTAGGACACTTAATTTATTTAAATAGTAGCGTCTACTAAATAGTTCTTATGGTACTAAATAGTTCTTATGGTATAAGTAGTATTGATGAAGAAGAAAAATAAGGACATTATTGTATTGAATGTAACAAATAGAAACTATGTAATTACTAATTATACTTTCAAGATCTAAGCAATCGCTGTATTAAAAGATGAAAACAAAAATAAATTTAAACATTACTTAAGTACAAATTTTTCGATAATTTTATAAACTATTTTACCGTGTCGTTTCACGTCTTAGTATGTTTAATAAAAACATAACAGGATATAAAGACTCTTGTTTCTGAAAGTTCAATAATAAGTTTTAA